ATAAGGTGCATACAGAAACAGTCAAAGAAGATCAATTGTAAGGAACGGACCAAAAAAATTAAACAAATATAAAAACTGTTAAGAATATAATATCGAAATATGTACCTGTAAAAATATGTGCAGTATTGGTATGAAGTGGAAAGACATGCAGATATAAGAGGAAGCTTTGTGTACAATGTGCAACATATCATCTTAATGTCAGAGAGAAGTTGTTTAGCTTGATTAAAAACCAGTATGATCTAGTATTTTGAGATTTATATTTTTAAAATCTGTCCATCTCCTGTCTCTTTATCAGGGAGAGTGTAGGTGTGGACTTCCAGGAAGAGTTATCGGACATGCTGCTGCTCAAAATGCTGCAGGCAGCCAACCGAGCGTCAGCTGACAAAGACAGGGTGAGAGCGCTCACTCTTTACCGAGCAAGAGCAAGGCACACATTACATTACATGTTCTCAATACTGTGGGCAATCCCCACAGGAGCAATTTGGGGTGAAGTCAATCAATCAATCCATCAATGTTTAGTTATATAGCCCAATATCACAAATGTTACATTTGTCTCAGTGGACTTTACAGTTTGTACAAAATATCAGTATGACAATACGACACCCTCTGTCCTTAGACCCTCTGTCCTTAGACCCTCAAGGAAAAACTTCCGAAGAAAACCCACAGTTTAAAGGGAAAAATGGGAGAAACCTCAGGGAGAGCAACAGAGGAGGGATCCCTCTCCCAGGACGGACAGACGTGCAATAGATGCCGTGTGTAAATTGAAAAGATAATACATTTGCAACATAGGTAGTCCAAATGTTTGGAAATGCATGTGTGTATAATAAGAAGATGAATCCACGAGGATATCCATCCAGGACCTATGATCCAGGAGCACAGCCACGACTCAAGATCCAGGACAGAGGAGCGCAGGATCATCCATGACTCCGGATCCCGGCGTATACAGACACCAAAAAGAAAGACATTTGGGGAAGCTGGGTTAATCGGAACATGAGAGTACACAGGTATAGACAGAGAGAAGGAAGAAGTAAGATGTCCCCCGACAAACTAAGCCTATATCAGCAAAACTAAGGGCTGAATTTAATCAGCCCTAACTATAAGCTTTATCAAAAAGGAAGGTCTTAAGCGCACTCTTAAAAACGGATAGGGTGTCTGCCGCCCGAACACAAACTGGAAGCTGATTCCACAAATGTGGAGCTTGATAAGAAAAGGCTCTGGCTCCCATTGTACTTTTAGAGACTCTAGGAACAACCAACAACCCTGCATTCTTGGAACGCAATGCCCTAGTAGGACAGTAGGGTATAATGAGTTCTTTAAGGTAAGATGGCGCCTGCCCATTAAGGGCTTTGTAGGCGAGAAGAAGAATTTTAAATTCTATCCTGTGTTCTATAGGGAGCCAGTGTAAGGCAGCCAGAACAGGAGTAATGTGGTCCCTTTTCCTAACTCTGGTTAGTACAACGAGCTGCAGCATTTTGAATCAGCTGAAGCGACTTGACTGACTTCTTGGTACACCCTGATAATAAAGAGTTACAATAATCCAGCCTTGAAGTAACAAATGCATGGACTAGTTTCTCTGCATCGTTTTGAGGCAAGATATGCCTGATTTTTGCAATGTTACGTAGATGGAAGTAGGCGGTCCTTGAAATTGATTTTATGTGGGCGTTAAAGGATAAATCCTGATCAAATATAACACCAAGATTCCTTACAGTCTCACTGGAGGCCAAATTAATGCCATCCATAGTTAGTATATCTTTAGATAATTTGTTTCGTAGATTCTTCGGGCCAAGTACAATAACTTCAGTTTTGGTCGTGTTTAACATCAAAAAGTTTAAGGTCTTGCCCAGGGTCACAACGACATGCTGACTGCAGTGGGGTTTGAACCTGTGATCCCCTGATCCGAACACCAACTCACTAGTCCACTGCGCCCCCCCCCCACACACCATTTCAGATTTCAGTCAGCTATGAAAAACTGTAGTTTTAGAATGGATCTGCCCAGAAAACAAAGACTGCTGTTTGGTCAAAGAGAGAAAGCAACTGTGTTTTGATCGTTTTTATGTTGTCAAAGAAAATCTCTTAAGCTTATATCAATCACAGACGTTATTACGGCCATTTTACCTATTCTAAAAAAACATGGATTTATATAAGCCAGAAGTGCACATTTCACGGTTTTATAACTCTTTTATGCTGATCTCTATTAACATAAACTTGTTTTCTTAAAATATTTGTTTCTAATAGTTTTATTCTTAAAATGTATCTTCTTTGACTGTTTATGTATGCACCATAAACACCAAGGCAAATTCCTTGTGTGTGTAGACCTACTTGGGAATAAACCGGATTCTGACTCTGATAAATGAACGTACACTTGCTTCGTTTAACTTATAGTTTGACTGATATGTTTTGATATTTCATGTTCATCAATATCTGCACTTTAAAAAGACATCATTTTTCGAGTCTTCTTTTTGATTGGCTCTCACGCTTGCTTCCTTCCAGGTGAAGTCTAACTCAGTGCGAGCGCTCGGGAATCTGCTTCATTTCCTGCGCGAGACTCAGCTGACCCGCTCTGCGTTCCAACAGCCGCTGGAAGACGCAGTGCGTGCTCTGGTTAAAACCGTCCAATCGGAGGCCACTATGAAGGTCAGGTGGAATGCCTGCTACGCCTTGGGGAATGCTTTCAGAAACCCAGCCCTGCCGCTCGGTAAGTGTCTGTCTCAGCACATTCAATTGCATTTCATTGAGAATTGGACAAAACGGTGTCATAAACTGTCTCTTTGACCACGCTCCGACCAAGATGAGGAACATATTTATGTTTGGCTTCATGAGGGTTAAAATAGAAATGATCATTATTGTTTTGATTTCACACTGAATTGTGAATTGCATGAAATGATGAGCTGTTATTTTGTTTGACTCCAGGAAGTGTGTGTGCGGACCCCAGGAAGAATAGCAAATGCTCATGCTAGTGCTAATGGGGATCCTCATAAAGAATAAGAACAGTTATAAGAGAGCCAATATAACAGTTTCTGTTTCTTTCTTCCTCTTAGACTCAGCCCCTTGGTCATGTGACGCGTTCTCCTCCCTCTGCCATGTTGTCACTTCCTGTAAGAACTTCAAGGTGCGGATCAAGTCTGCTGCTGCTCTAGCAATCCCTGCTAAGCGTGTCTGCTATGGCGACTCAGCGCGGTTCAGCTGTGTGTGGCGTTCCCTGGCCACAGCGCTCGAGAACAGCGAAGACACCAATGACTTCTTAGAGTTTCGCTACAGCGCCAGCCTGCGACACACACTCTCACAAGCCCTCCTACACCTGCTGAGTGTCAGCGAGCCGCAAGACATGGCCGGACTCGGGGAATCGCTGGCCGGGGAGGAGGGGGGGGGGCATTAAAGAGCATCTGATCAAATATCTGAGAGCGGAGGAAGGAGGAGGAGAGGCGGCAGAGGGGGAGAAAGATGCCGCGGGGGACAGTTTCACCCCTCAGCAGAGAGTTGGAGGTGTGCAGCAGACCCTGGTCAGACTGAAGGAGCTGCAGGCTGAGGGAGAGGAGGGGAGAGGTAAAGAGCTGGTGGTTGACTTCCTGGAGGATTTGCTTAAGACCTGTGAAGAGCTGGGAAGAGTTTGATTTCTGAGATAACAAGGACTGCTCTCTCAGGTTGGACCGGCCAAACATGGAATCACTAACTAAATGTGGACTGGAAACAAAAATAAATAACCACAGTTGTTACAATGTGATCTTAGGCAGGGGCGGCGGGTACTGTAGGCTAGGGAATGTGATTTAGCCTTCCCAAACCTGAGCCTCACGCGCCGTCTATGATCTTAGGAATCCGCAATTAAGCGCAAGACTGTTTTGGAAAACCTATTTTCCTAATGTACATTTCAAGCTATTTGAAATGTTGCAGTGCCTTTTTATATCTCTTCATTTATCTAATTGCACGTGCACTCTTTATTTATTAACATGTGACATACAAAGACATGAAGTATATTTTTGAGAAGAAATTAATATACAAGTATTAATGATTTAATTCGTTTCTTTAGAGGCGAAATCAATTTGATTTGTGTTTCATTATTATGATATTTTCAAACGTAGACAGTTTTGTCTGATTACCTACCATGCAACGTGGTTCCAATTAACATGAATTTCATTGTTTTATTATTAATCACATACATGTACATCTGCCACTTTGAAATATGTTTCTGTAAATGAAAATAGTCTTAAACACCCATTGATTCCAACAATATTGCCGTTAATCTTTTCATCATCACGAAGTTCACTACATTGTCAATGTGAACACAGACATGGTGATGCCGACTGGACTAACCGACTGTATTTAATAAAAAACAATAAATATTGTAACTTCCCACAATCTGATTTTTTTTTTATACAAAGTAGGTGTCGATGTCTGAGAAATATTTGACCTGCTCTGTCTTCCAACATGATATTTTCCTGAAGTTGTCTTTTAACACTAAAGTGAGCAAGCACTTACCTACACATTTCACTATCTAACTTGAAATACTGTCAATTAATCTACCTATAACATCATAAGAAATAACATAACACTTATCTCAGATCTCCTATGGACAGAATTATATAAACATCCTGGTTGCTTTATATATCCTTTATTTAACCAGGTAAAAGACTCATTGAGATTAAAATCTCTTTTCCAAGAGTGACCTGGCCAAGAGGGGCAGCATGTATGAAGTTACAACAGATAAAACACAGACATGACAGGCAGACAAATACCTTTCTTTGAAGGAAATATGGAGAAATGTGATTTTAACTTGTCAGAAAGGTTGTGGAAAATATGTAAACTGAATAGAAACGAAATATTGCTGACAAAATGTCAAGAGAACAATATTAAACTCTCCATAAAAAGGAGGGGAAAGGCGAAGTACATCTAATTGTCAAAGTTCACGTAAATAAAAGAAAAAACATATTTTGACACAAACATTTACACTCTTGAACGCAGCCTGCAGAGGGCTCTAGCGTTCAGTTGCTGGTCGATCACCCGGATGTTGACTAGTGATGTCTGGATGAGGACAGAGCCGCACGCTGCTGCAAAAATGGACGCCTTCGAGTTGTTTCGAAAACTCGGAGCTGGAGCTAAATTTGACCTGAAGAGGTTTGGTCAGGACGCTATAAGGTTTAAGGTAAACTGGACATGTTAAGCTAATGTTATAATAGACGAAAAATGTTGAATGATAATAACACGAGCCGCGGTTTTTTGTATGTTGGCCAACCCATCGTGAACGTTTGCTACAGTGTTTGTATTTTGCGGATATTTCTTGATGATATTCTAACTCTAAGCAGTTTGGGTGCTTTAATCTTCAATATGAGTAGTGCGACAATGTGTCACACAAGTGTATTATCTATTAACAATGACTGTACTCGTGTCTCTTTTAAAAGGGTGCCAAATCTCACGGAGGGGAAGCGTCCGTAGATACTCTCTCTGCTATCGATTACTTTGGCACAGCACAAACCAATGGATCCAAGAGCAGAGCTGTAAAGGTGACTGAGGATGAAAAGGATGATGGAGAAGAGTGTGAGGTGGGAAGTGAAAGTGGAGATTCTGAAGCAGGAGGTAAAAGAAAAAAAAGGGATCAAGCGAAAGACGTGAGGACCAAAAAGAAAAAGATGAAAAAAGACCAGGTGGCAGGTAAATGTTTGTTTGTTTGTTGCTCCTGAACAGATTAGGAATAAGCTGCTGACTGTAGTTTTGTACATGAAATGTCATTGGTGTATAATTGAGAGTGACAGAAAGTTGGTAATGTAGAACAGAGAAAATGCAGAATTGTATCGGTAATTACCGTTACTATACTATGTAACAATAATATTGTTTAGTTAGAAAAATACTGCCACATTAACTAAATCCAACATATTTAATATAATACTTTGTGATAGTAGTTTCTTTCTGCTAGTATTACAAAGTGACGTATACTGTGATTTTATCCATGTCGCCAGATCCAACTTGGCTGTTTTCAATGTGTTTATTAATTAAGATTTCCCATCACAGCAGTGGTATGTGAGGACATTTCAAATGAGCTTGATGTCAGAGACTCACTGTTGTTCCCTGTCTTCCTGACTGTAGCCAAAGACACAGAGGGGAGCGGCATCACTTGGACCTCCTCATTGGACAGAAAAGTCCAAAACCTGTCGACTGATGGGAAGGAGAAATCCTCGCTGAAGAGGCTGAAGCATCTTCATCAGGAAAAGGTGAGCAAAACTCGCAGCACAAGAAATTGAAAAAGAGATTATGATTCGATTTAAAACATATTGTTTTATTCTCTATATTGGGTAAATTGATTTTGCCTTTATTTGTTTTAGGTGAATCTCATTCGCTCTCAACATCGTATAAATGTGCACGGCTGTGACGTACCGGACCCTGTGTGCACGTTTGAGGAGCTGCAGTCAGAATATCGTCTCAGCCCGCGGGTGATTCAGAACCTCAAGGAAGCCGGGCTGAGCTCCCCGACGCCCATACAGATGCAGGCAATACCGCTCATGATGCATGTGAGTACACACACACACACACACACACACACACACACACACACACACACACACACACACACACACACACACACACACACACACACACACACACAGGATCAGTGGTAGTTAAATAATACGTGAGGACTAATGTGCGTCTGGTTTCTCTGTCAGAGTCGAGAGCTCCTGGCTTGCGCTCCCACAGGATCAGGAAAGACTTTGGCCTTCTGTCTCCCGCTGCTCGCCCACCTGCAGCAGCCCACCAACCTGGGCTTCAGAGCTGTGGTCATCTCCCCCACCAGAGAACTGGCCAACCAGGTACACACACACACACTGGTCTGTTTGCTTTATGCCCGAGTCCAGTGTCCTCCTACATAGCAAAGCAGTCGAGTTTTTGGCATTTGTACTTTTATCTTTAGTTTGTATTTTATAGTATCCATCAAAATCATTGTTCTTGCACAGTTTTTCCTATTTAATGACCATCACTAAACGTTAGCAGTACCCCCATTAGCACATACCTAACAATAAAGCGCGGTTTCTGTTATTAATCTGGTGACAGGATGCTTTTCCTTGCTGTGTTTATTTTGTTAATTTGTTTAAATTCTCTAATAATATACAGCATATGTTTTAGCTTCCAGGTTTGAATCCCTAGTGACTACAGTGGGTGTTTCAGCTGCTCATTATTTTGATTGTTGTTGACTTGTCACAGATATATTTGCATGCATTTTCAATCCGTTTTGTTGTCTTGTGTTCAGACCTACAGAGAGCTGCTCCGCCTGTCAGAGGGAGTAGGATTCAGAGTTCACATAATAGACAAAGCCTCTCTGGCAGCCAAGAAATATGGACCACAGTCAAACAAAAAATACGGTAAGAAATGGAAAATGTTTCCACAGACAAATCAAAATGTGAATCGCCTCCCCTCACTGTTTATCACCTACATTTCTGTGCAGATATACTTGTCAGTACTCCAAACAGACTGGTCTTCCTTCTCAATCAGGATCCTCCGGCCCTCGACCTCAGCAGGTAAGAACATGTGTTGCTCTCTGGAGAGGTTTTTTTCTCATGAAGGTGCCCCACGAAGATGTCTTTTTAAATGAGCATAAATTGTGTTCTCACTAATGCTCATTGAATCCTTGAGATCTAACACACCTGTAGATTGCATTTGATTACTTAGACAGGGTTCGTACGGTCATTAAAAGTCATGTAAATTCAAAATGAAAATTCCAGGCCCTGGAAAATTTATGGAAAACAATATTTTCCCCAAATGTTTGAAAAAGTCATGGAAATTTGCATCAAATAATTTATATTTTATCTAATCGCCGAAATACTAATACTATAATGATAATAAATACTGTATCGTATAGTAATGAAACGTAAAATGGCAACTGTCGCAGTATTTAGCTGGTGAGAGATGTTTACAATCACGCCCTCTAGTCTACAGTAGCTTTAAGTACCAATTGTGGTTATCAAAAGACATTGACCCAAGACGTGCTAAATGCAAACTGTGTTGTCAAATATTCGATATTTCGAATATGGGCGAGGCAGCGCTTGCTAGCCACATGAAAGAAAGAGTCATTTTTTTGGTCATGGAAAATGAGGTAAAGGTCATGGAAAAGTCATTGGTGAAAAAGTGTATGAACCCTGCTTGGAGATCAACTACTTTATCGTATCTATTGTTAACATCCATGTTTACTAGCTTGTGGTCTTCGGCCCACAGATAAACAAAAAGGCTGCCACCTGTCGATCAGTGCAATAGTGTGAACTCGTTTGCAGTGATATATGTGTCACCACTCACCACCCAAAAATAAAATGTCCAATGAAAACGACCAAGTATATATATTTGTATTACAATTACCATTACAAAAACAGTTCATGTTGCTGCAGTTAAGGAGGTAAAAGAATCAACAAGGCCAGGGATGCAGCTCCAGTTGTCTCCATGTATAAACTCTCATGTTAATGAACTCTCAGTTTGTAAGAAGATCTGTTTTAAATTGTCATCTTGTTTCTTGTCTTCATCTCCACTGCTAACTAACAAATACATTAACTTTTAATACCACAAAACATCCTGGTTGATTGTTGTCTTTTGTGTATGTTCAGTGTGGAGTGGCTGATCGTGGATGAGTCCGATAAGCTGTTTGAGGGCGGTAAGACGGGCTTCAGGGAGCAGCTGGCCGCAGTATTTCTGGCCTGTTCTGGTTCCAAGGTGCGCCGGGCTTTCTTCAGTGCCACCTGCACGCCGGATGTAGAGCAGTGGTGCCGTCTGAACCTCGACAACCTGGTGTCTGTCAACATTGGACACAGGTAAGAATCCACAAGTAGAACTTTATTTTACTTTAAACGTTTTATATTTAAAAAATCTCACATTTTAGATAATCAATTGTTCCAGAAATACGGCGGTGGAGTCGGTGGAACAGAAGCTGCTGTTTGTTGGGACAGAGAACGGAAAACTGGTGGCCATGAGGAACATCATCACCAAGGTACAAACACTCCAGAGAGGGTACTTTTAAACATTGAAAATAATCTAGTGGGTTTTATTTACTAGTGGGTTTAATTAAAGCTTTTTTCTCTACAACTGAAGTTTAAATGTCCTCCTTGCCATTTTAGGGTTTCCTGCCCCCCATGCTGGTGTTCGTGCAGTCTATCGATCGAGCACGGGAGCTTTTCCATGAGTTGGTGTATGAAGGTATCAACGTGGACGTGATCCACGCAGACCGCACACAGCAGCAGGTACACTCAGACACTCAATACACTGTGTCATGGGTCAATAAAGTGCCACTGTATTTACCCTCTCTGTGGCCTTCCTGTTTCAGAGGGACAACGTCGTGAGCAGTTTCCGGTCCGGTAAGATTTGGGTGTTGATCTGCACGGCTCTGCTCGCCAGAGGAATCGATTTCAAAGGAGTCAACCTCGTGCTGAACTACGACTTCCCCACCAGCTCTGTGGAGTACATCCACAGGATTGGTTAGTTTTTATGTATTATAAATAATTCACAGTAATATCATCTAGTATTGGATTCAAACCATATACTGATAACTTTGTATATAAAACATTAAACAGTGACTATTTTGATGGTGATTAATCATTTATTTTGTAAAAAGACCAACATGGGATGGTGTCAGCTTCACAAAATTCCAAAACGTGTTTCTTATTTATTTTAATGTTTTAATGTAGTTTGGCGGATTCTGGCATTTTGTGTTGGGCATATGCTATTATGTTACGTATGATTATGTTTTAATGACAACCAAAAGTCAATGAATATAAATAACGTTGTTATTTTCAGCTATAATGTTATTTGGTCTTCTTTATTTATTTGTATTCCTGGTGCTAAGCAATCATGGCAACACTACTGTCAGTTAGTCAGTTGTCTAATGTTTTTACGCTTAAACTTTGAGTCATACTTAATTGTACAAAGGAATACTTTATAGCCGTGTTTTATTTGTTATGATGTTGTTATACCACTGCTATGAATGAATGCTTGATTTTTGCTAACCGTGTTATTATGTTTGCTGCTCCTCAGGTCGAACTGGTCGAGCTGGACATCTGGGGAAGGCCATCACCTTCTTCACAGAAAATGACAAACCACTGCTGCGCAGGTACGTGGAACCGATTTACCGCAGTAAAACACATACAGCTGGTTTTAGTGTGTGACCCTAAGAAATGTATTTAGCCATCTCTCAATATTTGTAGCTAAAAGCAAAGAAGTCAATTAAAAAATAATTATGAATATGTTTCTCTTTGCCCCCCTTTTTACAGCATTGCTAATGTGATTAAACAAGCTGGCTGTCCTGTACCTGACTACATGATTGGTTTCAAGAAGATTCACAGGTAAAAAAGATGAATACTGATAACGCATTTAAAGACAGTTCTGCTATGTTTTGCTTAACTGAACGTTTTGGTAATATGATTGTAATGGTCCGTGTGCATTTGTCTGTTTAGCAAAGTGAAGCGGAGACTTGAGCAGAGACCTCCCAAGAGAAGCACCATTTGCACAACTCCTCGATACTTAATTAAGAAGAAAGGCCAAGCGCCAAATAACGGACAGAAAGGAGAGAAGCAGGCGGCAGTTGGAGAGCAGGAGAGCGAAAATGTGCCTCAAACCGCAGCGAAAAAGCCAAAAGGAGAAAAGAAGGCCAAAGGAGAAAAGAAGGCCAAAGGAGAAAAGAAGGCCAAAGGAAAGGAGCTGATGAAAAGAATGAAGACACAGAAAAAAGGGGGAAGTGAGAAGCACAAGGAGGCGTCTCAGAAGGAGGGATCCAACTCATCTGGAGCCAGGTTAAAAAAGTAAGTATGTGAGGGGACTATCTTGTATATTACATTTACAAAATTCATATATGATTATACCCTAAACCAAGCCAATGTTAATACACCTACAATATCCTGGATCTGTTTTATGCCTTAACATTTCACTTTTTATCTGATTGTTTGTCACAAAAATATGACCGAATTTTCTTCTTTCAACTCTGTCCACCAGGAAAAAGGGGAAGAAGAATAAGCCTCAGGAGGATTAGAGGATCGTGGAACTAGCAGACTGAAATGAAGATGGATGTGGATTATTTTTCTAATAATACTTCTTGCCGTCTGATGTACTGCTGCATTTCATACTTATGCTTTGTATTATGAGAGTATCAAATAAAAGTTTATATAAATATGAACGTGTTTTCGTGTGTTGTGGTTGTGTTATACGGACAGCTTTTTCATACCCAGCATATATGTGTTGTAGGTATTAAGAAAATGCCTGAAATTATACAATTAGTCAAATGTTTTTTGCTTATTTCTCATTGCTAAAGTTTTAACTCATTCAGTGCAAATGTTTTAGGATGCTAGTCGTAGGACTCAATTTTAAAACTTGCATTTAATGCCCTTTATTATAGTACAACACTATAATCATAGTTATTATAAGCTAATGATGGATTAATGCCCCATATGTTAATAATCAATGAATCAGTTCCCACACTAATTCTGATTCCAGTTTCTTTAATGTTAGTATTTTCTTTTTTACTTCTCTGAGTCAGAATCAGTAATGGGTTTATTGCCAGGTAGGTTCACATGTACGAGGAATTTGACTAGGTGTCGTGCATAAAAATAAAAAACAAAAATGTAAAAAGTACACAGCGAACTATATTAAGAACACTGTAATACAAATATAGTAAGATAGCAATAAAATAATGCAGCAATTTACATCGAAATAGAATGAAATAAATGATAGAATATAAAATATGTGCAGTAAGCATATTTAAACAATGTTTTAGTCATCAAGACATTTGACATATTGGGATTTTGGCAAACACTGATTGACATGTTTTACCAATTTCCTCAAATGTATAGATCATACAACTAAAGAAATAATCAACAATTCAAATAATCATTATTTGCTGCACTTGTTCAATCTTTTAAAAGGTACAAAATAACTTGAGTGAAGAGAGCTAACTGGTGACAATATTTGCTTCAGCTTGGCGGAAACAATCAAGCAAACCATGTCCCACATCACCATATGTCGTGTTAGATTCAATCAGCTCCTGAAACACGTATTCAAAGCTATTTGTAACCTATTTTTAAGCAAAGCAAAGGAAAATGGATCATCTTAACCCAATGGTTTACACACCACGCAAAACAAGTCATCTAAATATCGCGATACATCCGCAGTGAAATCTCGCCCATGCCATATACTGCAGGAAACCCCAATCAGCCTTCCTTTCTCAACATGGCACCGAAGGTGAAGAAGGAAGGTTCGTCAATCTTATGATTTTTTATGAATAATACGCGTAGTTAATACCTTTTTATAGCGTAAACGTTTCATTAGATATACCCACAATTAAAAGTTGAATTGAAAGAGGTTTAATTTACCTCAGGTTATTGCTGTCAAGTGTTTAAATATGTTATAAAACGCAGACTGCCTCACCGGCATGTATACTAAAACGTGATGCTAAGCTAATGTTAGCATGAGAGGGTTGACGCTACTTATCAAAAACGTTGACCGTTTACAGCTGTTATTCTGTCTTGATTGTGTCCTACAGTCTTAAACAGACACGTATTAACAAGTAAACGTTAATGAGTCTTGATAATAATCACCCTATTGGGTATAATGTGTTGGTGGATTAGCCGTTTTCGTGATGTTAGCACTAGCTCCACCTCAGCGGTGTTTGAAACGTTTGACTAGCTACACGTGATAGCAATTTAAGTTACTATTGTATGTAATATTGAGGAACATGAAATGTGCCAAAAACCATGACCAATTTGTTAATTTGAGTGATATAGTGGTTCTTTATCGGGGGGGAAATCCGGAGGAGTTTTGGCGTTTTCGTGCTCTAAATGGCTTTCAATTCTAAAGAGTAACGTTGTATCGTTCTCCTGCCAAGTGATATTTTGTAGAGATCTGCATTGTTATCGTTTGTAGCTGCATTCACAAGGGAATTTAATTTGAACGTAGCTTTAACTAAAGCCACTTGAAGAAAATTGTAAATGGGTCACGCTTTAAACTTAAGTACTCATTTTGGTGGGTTTGGCTTTTATGTACAACATGTGAAATTTAGAGGGATTTCATGTTTTTGGAAACTTTTCCAAAACGCCTTGCCGTTTATTACCATCTGGAGGAACATCAACAAAAGTCTAATAAATGTTATCTCTCCATTTAAGCTGTCCCGGTCAAGACTGAGGCCAAGTCAAAGGCCCTGAAGGCCAAAAAGGCTGTGCTTAAGGGTGTACACAGCCAGAGGAAGAAGAAGATCAGGACTTCTCCCACCTTCCGTCGCCCCAAAACCCTTCGTCTGCGCAGGCAGCCCAAGTATCCCCGCAAGAGTGCTCCTCGCAGGAACAAGTGAGTACAGCGACTGTTGAGAAGTGCAGGGTTTATACCTGGTGCTAAATGATGGTCAATGCGTGATTCAAACGTGTATATACCACTGATGCACTTAAATATTCATTTACAAGTTGACAAGCAAAGGCATGTTTATACCGTGATATAAAATGTATGAATATGTTCCTCCTGCAGGCTGGATCACTATGCCATCATCAAGTTCCCCTTGACAACAGAGTCCGCCATGAAGAAAATTGAGGACAACAACACACTTGTGTTCATTGTGGATGTCAAGGCAAACAAACACCAGATCAAACACGCAGTCAAGAAGCTGTATGACATCGATGTCGCCAAAGTCAACACACTCATCAGGTAAGAAATCTTACTCAGGCTGAACACTGTATCTAGATAACTGGAATGATGGCCCTAATGTGCACTAATTTCATTATATATATATATATATATATATACAGTTTATAATTCAAGCAAGAACAGTCTTGTGTTTTTATTGGACTTGATGTACGACATATGGGCCCTTAACTTGCAAAGTCTACATGGGTCTTCAACAACTTGTCCCTCTGTAAATATAAACATGATACACTCGCCTTCATGAGATTTTTCTTCTAACATATCTGTTTTTTTCATGTCAACAGGCCTGATGGTGAGAAGAAGGCGTACGTTCGTCTCGCACCAGATTACGATGCGTTGGATGTTGCAAACAAGGTGAGCTTTCAGCCATTCAACAGGGTAACATGGGATGTTCAGCCTAATGGGAGCATCTGCATGTATAAGTTGTCAAACCTGTGCAAGTGATGTAAATTTTATTGCGTCTGAATAAAAATGATGCACTCAAAGGAACCACTGATGCGAGAGTGCAGGTTCTGATGTATTTACTCTGTGGGTGGACATTGTTTAATGAATGTCTCTTTCTTCTCTACAGATTGGCATCATCTAAACTGTGGCTGGAAAGACTTGTGGAGGAATAAATATTTGTATAAACTACAACTGATTCAGTGTCCTTGTATGTTTTGAGTTGTCTTCAAATTGTTACACAATGGAAATGCTTAGGTGCGTCCTCCACTGACTTAGATGCTTACCAAAACATTTTCGGTAATTAAAGTTTAAAAGTCTCAAAATGCTACAACTACTGTCACAAACTGGATGAATGTGAAGTATTTTGTTAAAGGAGGATGAAAGCGTAATTAAGGAGCACTATTGGAGTGACTTTGATGGTTATTGGACTCTAATTCATTTGGATTCCCGCTGTATGAAGAAATTAAAGGACGGCGCGTAAATGGAAACAATTCACAAAGGGATTAAACTGTTTAAAACACATGCTCAAAGTAAGCCGGATTTTGCGGATTCAAAAGTCGTAAATCTAAATGGAGGAGACCGATCTGATCGGAGCAACGGACAAATCCAACTGAAACCGGCATGGACAATGACTGTTTTAAAAATGCGCTTATCTAGCAAAGCCCGGTTTGGACACTTTACGGGCAGAAGAAATATTTCTATCAAAGAGAAAAATATACATTTTTATTCAAATTTATTAATCAATTAATTTTTATATTGTAATGAAGAGACAATCATGTATTGAGTTACAATATATATATAAAAGTCTAAATATGATATTTGGCCTCAAATCATCTGAGGCCTGGTGCCGCCCCCCAGGTTGGGAACCACTACTCTAGGAGGAGATTCAGGTGATAAGGTGGGGGGGGGGTTACCTTGGTTGGCTAATGGTTACTCAAGCCAAAATCTGATCAGCTCATTTTCAGACAGGTTTTTATATAAATGGATCAGGACAAAGAGCAAATCTTTTTTCCTGAAACCTTCAGAATCTCTTTACACAGAGGGGACACGTGTTGATGTTGAAGAGACATGAAAAAGTGGATTTTGCATAATCTGTTTTACCAAGCACCTGGTATAACTGCCTGCTTAGTTGTAGATATGGAGTATCACATGTTGTACCAGGTTGCTCAAAAAGACTAGCATCACCAGGTGTCATTGAGGACCCTTAGAACATGATTAGTTTTACTTTGTTTAGAATACTGGAGATGTGGTTTATACATCAATTCCTTAAAGTCACATTTTGAATATGTATTTTTTTATAAGTGAACTTAACCCCATGATTAGTGAGTGCTGATCATATGATTAGTCAGCCCATTAAGAACACATTCAAAACTGTTACATGAAATGCACTGCTGTGGTTATACAATCTCAAATAAATTAAGTTTAATACAATCTTAGGTCATTTAACAATTAGTAATTAAAGTTTGTCAGAAGTTTTTACAGATAAAATGTATATAATTCCCATCAATAATGTACTTCACCCAGAGCTTTCTACTGATTATAACAACTGTAATATTGGATTATATCCTCAACTGTATAAACATTTCTATCATATTGCTAACAGTGTTGTGAGACTGAACGACTCCCCGGTTATGAGAGGAAGGTTCGGACCGTTCCTTTCACCAGGCCTCTGCAGATTGGACACTTCCTCAGCGACGGCGCACACTCTTTGCACACCACCAGGTGTCCACAGGGGATGAACACGATGTTGACTTCTTTATCCATACACACCTTGCAGGTCCGCTCCTCCTGCAGGCGCCGCAGCTGCTCCTCCATGGGGAGGTCTGCAAAACAAAAGAGAGACATTTCCAACCTGCAAATCCAACACGATGATCTACATGTTTGACGATGATAAAAGTGAATTAAATAGAACATTTTATTCATTATCAAACGTTAACAGAAGACTCATTTACTTGGAGGTATATTTAGATAATATCTCACATCAGATACAATAGGCTGTTCATCTAACATTGAAATTTCACATCATGGGGCCGATATTAAGCAAAGATAAACTTATCAAAGTAGAAGTTACAAAGTGCTTCAAAGATAAACAATTAGAAATCAAAAACACAAAAAAGTTAGTGAGTTTTTAATGCTCGTCTTAATACCTGAAATATCTTGGCTTGGTGATGCAGCTTCGTTAGATACGGCTGAAAATGTGAAAGTTAAAATGTAGTTAGCTTAGACTTTGGTTTATAAACAATGAAGCAAAAAAACAACACAAAAAGCAAGAACTTTGAACTTCTTCAGAGCTATCTTATGCTTAATACTTGGGCTTTTTAGACAGAACAATGTTTGCTCTGGAGTTGAATAAACCACTAGACCTTTTTTTAAACATGGCAGTATTAGTTTCATGACCAACTGTATTGAAATGTTTAGTATGAGGCGAGCACATACTGCATGATCTCCTCGGTGTTATAAAGACATACCCATGAGATCTCTGAGCAGGTGGACGTCGTTTTTCTGGATCCAGTTGCGGAACACCTCGGCTGCGGCGTTTCCCTTAGTGAGGATGAGCTCGATCAGCCGGGCGGTTTGCTGCTGGGCCGACGTCTGAGCCTTCAGACCGCCGTACTCCTCTGTGGCTGCAGGGGAACAGGAAGTATTACTCACAGCGGAGAGAACTGAAGACGCTAAAGCTGCATATTCGAGTCTCTGTCTGAATTCTGCTCAACAGTTGCTTATCAGTCACGCTCTGAATGTTATTAACTGGTGAACAACAGTGTACATTTTGAACAAAAAGCCATCCTTGTTGATTTCATAGACTGCTTGTTGAACACAATCTACTGTGCAGCTCCGTCCGACTCATGAAGCGCTTTGTCTTTATTTACCATTCATTTTTTCCTAATGTAGTAACAAAAAAACATAATTTATACAAAGCGCTCTTACTTACCTAATGTAAGACCCTTTCCTACATTTTAAGACCTCATCGCCACTTGGAGTTTTAACCGGTTACCTTGGCGACACACTTTACCTCACATTGACTATATACAGTATTGATTGTCCTTCCTCCTTATCTTCCAACCATTTGGACGCAGACTTGCATTTCCCCATAACGATGTTGTTTAGCAACCGGCGTAAACGGACCTTCGCGCGCTATCGAGCAGTGAGCGTGCGATGTCCTGTTCAGATGACGTCACATCCAACGGGATGCCATAAATAAACTACACAGAATCACACTACACACCTACGCAATGATTACATTCAGGCAGACTGTAGAATACAACCTCTTTGGACAATTTATATACTTATTGAAAACAAGCTACAAAATCTAATACCTTGGAAAATGCCGTTGAATACTTTTTAATAGCCTTCATTTTCATTAAATTGATTTATCAACTTTTAATACTTTTTAAGACCCCGCGGACCCCCTGTATTCCCTTTATTGCAACACTGGTCATTTTCAGGTATCATCAGACATGTAGCTCTTAAAACCTAAATCCTGCGTCCCTAAGTAACTAGCAACTGTCCTTTCTACAAAGTTCCAAAACATTTAAAAGATGGGGCAACAGTTGTTAAAGCAGATTGAATCCAATGATTAAAAAAGAGGGCCTCCCATATGCGGAGACCGCTGCCTTGTAAGCCGATTCGAACATTACCTCCCCTCTGTTTCCCCTTTCACTCTATTTCTCAAATAAAGGCCGTCTCTGGCCGACAAAAAGAAAGAAAAAGTAGACGCTTACAGATCACAGTTTGCTCCCTTAAATGCTCCAGCACTGGCTCCACACTCTTCAGCCGCTGGATCAACGCTGCCTGGTGTCTCTTCACAAAGGTGAAGCCATCTAATGTAACAGAACAAAATGAAATGATTCAGAATGCATGAAGATAGCTGGATTTCATTTTGGTTCATGTCAGTGGAGAATATATTTGAAGGTATTTTCCGTCAGCTGTACCTGATGCCATTGCCTCGGCCACCATCTCTCGCTCCTCCTCCCTCTTCTGGTCCTCGGCACTCAGCAGGTCTGAGACCAGCTCCTGGACGGTGCGGTAGTTCTCCCCGCTCGTCAGGATCTTGCTCTGGACGGTTTGCTTCACTAGACTACGCTCGAAGCCCATCTCTAGAGCGGACTTAATCACAGGCGTGTTCATCATCACTGCATCCTCGGAGCGCTCCTCTCCTGGGCCGAGGTGAACTACTGAGAGACACAGAGAGCACAAACGTCAAGCTGGTTGAAAGCACTTCCTGTCTTTCAAGGACTCTTTACATTGTGCCAAAATCCATTTAGTCAGCTAATCCTTCCAAACTCACCAGGTGGATCCGTAAACTCTCTGGAGCGGCTGTCTCCATTTGATAAAAGCTTTTGGGGGAAAAAAAACATTTATTTAAAGACTTGTTCTCTGCAAAACGTTTGTGTGCCGCTCGCTACCAACCTGCTCAAACAGCCGAGGGAATCGAGCCTGGATCTGGTGAACGAACTCTTGTCCCTTCTCTTGGAGCAAATATTCACACCTGGAATAAACCAGAGGAATACAAACGTATAAGTACAAAGGGCTCTGGTACACACATTTTGAACCAAAATGAAACAACAATAAAACTGTATTTGAAACAGCATTTACCGAGGGAACCATTTAGCGTGTTCCACCCAAGGATCGTCTCCGGACTCCCAGCAGCGCAGGCCTCCGTCGCAGCAGAAACACTTAACGTCATCATTACGACCTTTAGGGCAAACAAAGGACTTTCAGTGCGACGGGTCATTTGAAGGGGATTTCAAAGAAGAAAACATGTTTTTTCTGATAAAGGACTGTTTCAACTGAAACCAGTTCAAGGCAGGTTTGTTTCCCCATCTTTCAATTCTGCTTTTGCCTGAAACCCAAGTAGTTTACCGAAAAAAATGATATATTTAGTATTCGAATGAGTTGTTAGAAACCAGCTGTCCCCAAACGGGGAAACTGTTACTGAAAGGAAAGGGAAAAAACCTCCAACCTTTGAATTGACATTATCTGTAAACTCGGTTTCGTTTAAATGACAGCTTGAAGATTTACATTTCAACAGCATTTCTGTTTTAGTGAAATACCTACAACAGGTTATTGCTATAAATTAAAAGGTACATTAAGAATGTAACTTCTGGGAGGTATATTTTATGTTGTGGTCCTAAAGAAATGCGTTTAACGTAATACAAATGGTGCCTTATACCAGGAAGGGTGCACATATATTATTTTCAGAATTAATATATGTTATTTAGTTTTGAAAATAATCAAAGCTGAGATCTTTTTCTTTTTTTTTCGGTCTCCTTTAACCTGCAATAATTAATGTTGGGAGAGCGCAACAAGCTGTGAACACAACACTATCATATCACTATTGAATTGGGAGGGATGAGACCCTCTTTAAGGGTCACACGTGCAGAGCACACACTGTGACATGTGTTCTCAGCTTTTAACCCATCCTAGTACCAGGAGTCTAGTACTAGGAGCAGCTATTGCACAGCGCCCGGGGAGCATTGGGAGTGAGGGGGGAAGGGGGATGTCCGGTGCCTTGCTCAAGGGCACCACGGCAGGGCAGGAGGTGAACTGGGACCTCTCCAAGTAGCAGTCCACACTCCATATTTAGGTCTGTTCGGGGACTTGAACCGGCTACCCTACAGCTCACAGTCCAATCCCCTACTGACTGAGCCACTGCCGGACTCTAGCATTCAAAGCTGATAATGCAGATATGGACCGGCTTTAGCCAACATTCAGTGTCCTTCCAGCAGCTCCTCGTCAGCGGAGTCTGATCAGCTGGTCTCTGTGACATTATCCGTACCTACATAGTAGAACCCAGCTTTAGCCAGCTGGTCGGGCCGGACCGGGATACGAGACGGCCAGTTGACAAACGTGAGCAGCCTCTCGTCGCTCAGCTGCATGGCGTTGTTGGACACATTGTTGAGGCCCGGGGCCCCTGAAGGCAGCTGAGAGGAGACTCCTCCGGACGCCAGCGACACGTTGTCGGCTCTGTCCCCTCGCACAAAACGACAGTTCGGATAATGCCTCTGGTGCTCGGATACGGCTCTGTCGCCTGGCTCCCAGTTACTCAACTGCAAATACAAAACAAAAAACTTCTGTCATGTTTCCTGTTAAAGAAATGAACCCTGAAACACATACAACCTGCATGATAATAGTATTGCCTTCTGTCCACTATCGTTATCTTTTAGAACCCGTAAACATATTTCTTCAGGCAATTATTATTAGTGATACTATACTATGATTTATATACGATGAGGACTTTTAAATGACATTGTTGCTACATACTACTTAGCATACAAAATGATGACCTTTCTTCCTATTTTATGGCATACTATGCTAGGAACCTTTTCATGTCATATCATGAAATCCTACAGGTAAAATGTGAAGTAGAACAGGGCCACAAAAGACCACAAAATATAGAGTGAAAATAAGATATTCAGTTTCAGTATTTTTGAATGTGACGGAGCAACATCTCTAAATCAAGCCAGGGTGAGAGCTATATGCGGGTTACATTCTACGGTTTGTTACACCTCGTTTCCTTCTACATGTACACACTCTTCCATAAGGCAGTGGGGTCGGTGCCTCCGTGAGGACACACACCTGTCCTCCGCAGCTGAAGCAGGCCACTCGGTCGCCCTGGCCCAGGAAGTAGAAGCCCGCCTTGGCAAGCTCGGAGGGGGTTATGATGGAGAGCGTCCACGGGTGGAAGGAGTCCAGGCGGTTCTGCTCTCTGCGCATGCTGGGGTTATGGCACGTCGGTCTCTGGTGGGACATGTCCTCAACACCCCGAGAGCTGAGCGGGCTGGAGGGGGGGGGAGCAGAGAAGGCCATGTTCAGGTAGCCCGCCGGCTCCTCACCTTGGTTTACTACCGGGTTAGGAGCAGCTGGGCCTGGACCAGAAAGCTGGAACAACAAGATGCAAACTAAATATGAAAATGTACTCGGGTAGGTTAATTCTACGAGGAAATGCAACAACAGAAGACAAACAAATTCATACCAAGGAGTAGATTTGTTTCTCTATGAACAATTATATTCAAAGATTCAAAGGTTTTATTGTCATATGCACAAAATACAAAGAACAAAATACATTGATTGATATTGATTATTTAGCTATGGTCACAATTAGTTCTATTATACGTCTTTTTCGTTTTATGTTAAGTGTATGTTGCATCGTTGGAGGACACTTAAGATTGTCATTGCCAAAACCCACGCAGTAGACTTGTCATATAACTAATAAAGCCTTTTAAACTTACACATTTTAAAACTATTTCTATAAATGTGTGTCTAGTCATTTTTTCTTTTACTTATTAGTTATTTTCTCACATTCCCCTTTACATCCAATAGTACTCTAATTTAAAGAACAGTTTATTTCACAAGGGGTCACAACATGTTTAAGGTCTCAAATCCTAACACTTAAACATGAGAATATGAAAAACAAAATGATCAAATCAATAATAACACTGAGAACGTCAAATAAAACAGGTATAACAAAAATAAAATTAAAGATGGGTTGTATAAGGTCATCCTACAAATTACAATAATACAGTAGGGCCGTGCGATTATGGCAAAAATAACAATCACGGTTATTTTTGGTCAATAATTGATATCACGATTATTGAAAACGATTATCCATTTACTTTGAAAACATCCATTTATTGAAAAAATAATGTTTTTAACAGTTGATTACCCTGAACTTTAAGTATAATTTAACTGAAAAAAACAATACAATTTTTTTTTTAAAAAAACAATAAAAAAATAAATAAAAAAACAATTACATTTAAAAAATAAATAAAATTAATAATCGTTTTATTTCGATTACGTTGTTTTCGTAATCGTTGCAAGCCAAAATCGTAATCGAGATTAAAATACGATTAATTGCACAGCCCTATAATACAGTCTAAGTCTTAGGAAAAATATCCATATACCAGAACATTTCAAAAATAAATATTCGTCTAGTCATTTTTAAAGAAACTTGTATTGATCTTACCGGTACAGCTGGAGCGATGCGGAGCGGGGAGAAGGCGGAGTGCGAGGAGGAGAGCAGGTTGGCTGTGGACGGGAGGCTCTGGATGAAGGAGCAGGAAGGAGAGAGCTGCCGGTGTTTCTCAGACGGACAGTCTCCCGCCTGCCAGCCATCTGCCGTCACGTTGCACCTGAAACACTGCACACGGTCGCCCACGCCGGTGTAGAACCAGCCGGCCCTCGCCAAACTCCGCTCTGTAACTCCTGAAGCTGGGAACCGGGCAAAGGTAGAGATGCGGAAGAGCTCTGTGGGATAAAAAGGACATCATACTGACACATCAATTTTTTTAAAGCACATCAGAAGTTAAAAAGCTTAAATCTAAAAGACAACACAATTAAAGAGAGTGGTACCTGAGGAGTTATCATATTGCAGGTCAGGTGGAGGCCCGTTGCGACATAATCCCATCAAAAAGGGGTTGTTCTTTAGTTGAACAAGAGTTTCCATTTTTTGTATTTAAGTTTAGAAATATAAAGGTAAAAGAGATGTCCTTAAAAGGGAAAGGGGTTTGAGAGAACCCAAGGTCTTGCTTTCTTACAGCGACACACACTCACACTGCAACAGAAAGTAGAAGATCATGGGCCGAGCATGTGGGGAGGGGATGCAACTCAAATCAAAAGACTTCAGTACAATAGAAAGTGAAAGTAAGCGTGGTTAAGTTTGAAATGAAGTGAAGAAACAAAACTACCAGTTCAGCCACCACCACCCTCACGTCATAGGCAAACACTGCCTGAGGTTCCAAAGGACATGAAGTCATGTGTTTCCCTCTAACCTCCTATGTCCAACATAAAGCCTGAACTTTACACCTGGATCCATTTCACCTTTCCCTTCAGAAAAAAAAAACATTTAACTGCAGAAACGTCTACATTTCTCTTTCAGTTAAAGCCCCAGTGGATGTACGTCCAACAAAACACATCCTGTGCAGTAAAAAACAATAGACTTTTTTTAGAGAGTAAATTAAATGCATTCTCAGAAAAAGTGTTTTTCTCACCCTGGGTCAGTATAGACTTGATTGTCTTGTATATTAAGCACAGGCATGCATGACCCTTTTAATTTAATCATGTAGAATGTGATTATTTTAACCAACATTAGAAATTAAATAAATATCTCAAGTGAACACACAAACACACACACACAGACCAAGGGATCATATGCTCTCTCAAACCCCTCCCCCCTTCTAGGACATCTCTTTTGTAGGTGTCTAATCCGCCATATTTGAATACCAAAAACCAAATTAAAAAAAGGTTATCCTTCTTGGGTGTGGATAATGGACCCTCCTCTTTCGGTTAATGATAGCAGGACCTGTAGAAATTAAGAAAAAAAACAGACAGAAAATGTTAAATTGGGTTCAAGTAGAAATTCTTCATGGAGGATTTGAACCTCTTTAAGTCTGTATATGTTAAGGCTTTGCCAGGTTCATCGTGACAATAAGCAATGTTCAATTAGGTCTTACTTATATTCAATTATACCTGAAATTCAAAGAATCAATTTCCTGTTAATTTTGTGCAAACTGAGGTTAGTAAAGTGTTGACCAAGTGGTGAATTAGCTACACATTCACATTATAATCATAACTGGTATTTTCTTTTGGCAGGGTCACATTATGCTAGGGGCCTTTCTCATTTCAGGATGTTGTGCCTCCTCATCTCCTCTCTCCATAACTGAGGAGGGTTGCTGAAGCAGCTATGGGCGTATGTTTTCCTGAGCTTTAAAAGAAGTATAATACACATCTGGAATAATCTCTAACCATGATATAATCCCCAAGCAATACCACCCCTGTTTTAACCATATTTGTTAATGTCATTTCACCTACAGTCTATGGTTGATACACATCACCCAGGAACTGCTTTGTTCTAATAAATGGTTCAAAGCAACAATTATAAATCAATCAAAATCTATCCTGGTTATTTAATGACATAGATAACAGTTAAAGCTGAATTGAACCACAAAATAACTAGTCAAACGGGAAGTGTCTGGAGAGCAACGTCCCATTATCCATTTTGTACATAGTCGAACCTTTTCTTTGCCTCCTCTCCTACTGTCCTAGTTTCGCCCGTGAAGGGGGATAGGAGATAGGAGTCAAAGACAGGAGTCAAGGCACTTGTAAATCAAGTCAGATATACAAAAAAAAAGTAATATCCAGGTATATTAACATATTAACGCCCCACAGAAACCAGTTTGACAAGACCAACCGACATTAGCATGCTAACGCTAACGTCTGTTAACGCGACTAACTGTCAAACACGACTCATTAGTCTTTGCAGCAGCACGGCGGAAAGAAAACTAAATTGTCTGAGTTGAGACAATTAATAAGACGGCAAGGTAACATGTCATTTCCAGTAGCATCACTGAGTCTACTCACCGTTTCCCAATTCAGTCGGTATGGAAAGTCCCGACTCGAGACCGTCACAGATCACCACAGCGCATGACTGCTTCCGGGTATGTTGAAATGAAAATGAGACAGTCAACAAAATATAAAGAATGTTGCTGGAAATCCCTCCGATAATATTAGAACATCACGCCAAAAATCAGCATATTCAGATGGATTACATAAAATACATACATCGGAATCACCACGATTTTTACCCGGGCTTATTTTTTGTTTCATTATCTGTCCTCCTGGCAAACCAGGACATTCAATCACTTCAAACACACTAATGCAACTATTTTATAAATGGATGATTACATGTAATACTGTAACGAAGTGTGTGAAATCCAGCCAATTGTACTCACTTATACTACATTTTTAATTTGTAACAAAATGAATGACAACCTCTATGTGTGTCAAATCCTATTAGTCAACTCCAGAAACAAGCTGTTAAATTCCAATCTACATAAAAAAAGTATACAAACATTATTGTTACTTACTTATGCAGTATTGGAATAAATACTATTTGACATAAGTGATGTAGCAATACTGCACTGTGAAAATATGGCTAAAATACTTCAAAAATGTATTTAAGTAGAGTAATCAAGTAAATGTACTTAGTTAATTTCAACCACTGTTCACATCTGTAACCCTACTATATATCTGAGGCCACATTCAAACATGAAAATGTACAATACAATTGTAAAGAGATATTTAGAGATGTTACGAACGGAGCATATAGTAGGCTATACAATTGAAATACCCAGAGCAATAACAACAATACTATTTTAATCTTAAATCAATGGTACAAGGAGCATTCTTGATACTTACATAGAGGCTTTGAAGACAGCTATGCAAATGAATCATCAGAAAGAATTCTTGAATGAGGTTATTATAGATTGCTGTACTTCCCCTAACTTCCTGTTGTACAACCACCCCTCCAGCTGTGATGTTAATCACACTACATGTCTACTTTCAATAAGGAGTGGCATACGTTTACATATTAGCCTGTGTGTTTTTATGTAAAGTCCCTGTAATTTCTTCACATTTTCTCTATGTGTGTCACCTTTCTCATCATTCAGTGATTTGAAACTGAACTTTGTGATTCAGGTCCTTTTATGGTAGGCTACCCGGAAATCCCTTTTGCTTGAAATGATGCACTCAAGAGCAGGTCATTATCTACAAGCTTTAAAATGTATTACACAATGTGAATATCAGGGCACATGATTGTGTGATGGTTGTTATTATATTGACCAAATCAAGGATTCTCTAGGAAAACAAGACATTCGGACTAAAACCACCAGACTCAGGGACCGTTTCATCCCACAGGCAATAAGACTGTTAAACACCTGAACTGTTGAAACAACAACATCCAAAATATTCATCTGGCTGCTATTTTAAAATTATTTAACTACTATATCATATTCCAATAACTTGCATGTAGACTCTCATTGCACTATTTCAAACTATTTTTCTTCTTGTATTTATTATTTACTTGCACTATATTTTTCTGTTTATCTGTGTTATTGTGTTGCACTGTTGGAGAAGCCTGTGACCTAAGAATGTAATCGGCATAACTACACTGTAGCTATGTTCGTATGACAAATAAAGAACCTTGAACCTTGAGTGAATCATTCAGTGGTACTGTAACAAAAACAATGGTACTGTAAAAAGTGAATATCTTATTGTTTCATATATCTATTATTTTTATTTGAAATTGTATTATTTTATTTCTATGTGTTGTCTTTAGAGATACCGTTGAATTAATGGAAAAAACACTTCTGACATAGGTGCGAATGTTAGTATAACGAAACTGAAACTTAAATAAAAACTTTTTTAAAAGTACGTGTATCCAAATATGTACCTATGCAGAGAAGGTTTCTTAGATTAGTGTTTTGAATAACTTTGGAAACCCCTAGATAACTGCCACTTCCTTTCATACCCGACTGAAATCAACTAATAAAAGGAACATATTGTGCAAATAGAAATAGGAATACATTAGAAGCCAGACATCCATGTGCTATTTCAAAAACATACAATTGATAAGAGACACTTGAATCCACCACTCGTCAGGTATATTTAAAAGTTTATTCAACAGAAACTCCTTTAAAATGATTACAGTGAGAGTAAGAAGAAATATATTTATATAAAGCACATGCATACAAAAGGTACAAAACAAGTCTGATTGCCTCCAAATTCTCTGTAAATAAGATAATAAAAATCATTATATGTAACATACATAGCAAGTGTCATGCATGCTAAGATAAATAAAAGGCTAGGTAGTGTGTGGCATTGTGTGTATAAACAATAAGTCTCTCCAGGCCCATGGTAGCTTAATTTAGAAGATATTAGTTGACTTGGCTTTTTATGTGGGCATGACATGAACATCTCAACCTCTAAATACTGTTTAATGTAAAAAAGAAGCTGGTAAGAAGAAACGCTCTCTCCAATTGTTAACAGCTTCCAATTTAGGTAAAATATAAAACACACTGCAGAAACAACCCAGCAGGTAAAGACACAGATTATATACTTTTTTATATAGTAGTAGTAGTAGTAACTAAAAGAGGAGAATTCAAGAGCTCCGCTTTTTAATGATTGCCTTCTGTATTACAGCACCAGAGAGCTCTTGCAGTTAAAACAAAATATACCAAGAACACAGCATCCACAATTAGTATGTTGCACATATTTGCATCATTCCCACTTACAAAACAAGTCTTAAGAGTGGAAAACTTCAGCCATGGACAGAGGAAATTATAACTCTATAGTGTGGTAGCAAATTAATATCTTAATGGTACTGATTATTACAGGATTTTGCACGTTTTAGTGTATTTACAACAAATCAAAAACATTGTACATTGCTGCGATGTTGCTCTACTTTAGAAACTTGAATGTATTCGATATTGTTTCAGGATTCTTATCCATATATGTCAACAATCTGGATATGTAATAGTAGAATCTTTTAGTGTGCTTCTGTAGTGCAATTCCTTACCATTAACTGACTTTTGAACTAGTTAAGAGTTATTTACATGTGAGGGATTTTACAGTGTTACGGTGTACCTTTACATTAATGGGTTCAAATGAAAGATTGTTTTTCCCTGAAAAATATGATTGTAATATTGTACTATTCTTATTTTCATTTATATTACTTCAGACAAGTTGTGTTTCGTATAATGGATGACTGTACTGTGATCCACCAAAAACACATCGAGTTAATGAGTCAAGCAAGTTTTAGGAGTCTGCTAACTGAATGTTGGTAATAAATGGGAAAAGTATTTGACTTAATTAGATAAAAGTTTTCAAATATGGCTGAGATTCTGTTTCTTTCTGTTGAAAACCTATGACTGGAAAAATAGATACAATATGGAAAGGTAAATTATTAGAAATGTATAAAGCTATTATTGGAAAAGTGAGAAGAAGTATTGATAGAATAATTTCCATTTATGTTTCAGGAGAGATACAATATCTGCTGCACACTAAGGAGAGATAGTGTCCTTGCCCTTATGGCAACTTTGTGGCTTCGTTTCTTAAACAAAGGGTGGACATAATCATTTTACAACTGTACAATATCATGCAATCCAATACAACTAATCGCCAATAAATACTACCTTTGTGGAGCTTATATTTAATGCTGGAGTGGGAAACAATTACTAAAACACTTAAAAATAAAATGCAAACCAATTCATCAAACACTAAGACAACCTAAATATTAGTTACTTAAACAATTGTGATTTTGTCTGCAGTCATTTAGACTGCAGAACAGACTTTAATGAAATAAAAATAAAGAGCAGAGCTATTTCACACTGCAAAGTCCATAGTGTGGCTTTGGTTTGGGCTATTAACCAGAGGACCAGATGGGGAAAACCCCGTATTGTTGTTGGATTGCATTATACTGAACATGTGTTCATTAATTGTAGACATCCTCATTCCAGCATTCCTTTCTATAAAAAAAGTCCTCAAAACACACTTGGCTGCAGTGTTAGTGCCAATAGTTAAGAGTTCATCTCCTGCTGTTGCCTTCATTTCTCTTAATGTGAAGGCGGGGTTTTGATTTGTTAGAAACGAAGTCTCCACTGTGACCTCAGATCAAGCTTATCATCATATAGTAATTACAAAAAAACTCCTCCGATATTCCACACAGACTTCGTAGTGACTCTGGTTTTAATACTGTTTTTCGGTTTGTGAGCATTTTAACTTAAAGGTGGGGTAGGTAATTTTGGAGAAACCAGCTCGAGTGCGCTAGAATTTGAAAATACACAGCCGGAAAAAATCTGCCACTTCCTTACAGAGCCCCTCCTCCAACACACACAAACGCGCACATGACCAATGAGGGCACGAGATAAGTTTGTGTACAGATGGAAAGCTGACAGGCAGGTAGGCCATCCAGTTATTTTAGCCGGGCCGGCTAAAATGATTGGTCGTGCTTTTACAGTACTACGGCTTCCACAGATGACACTTTTTTATGGATTTTTTGTCAAAGCACTTCAGATATTCATTGCTATCGGGATGTTAAGAGCATTCCATGGAATATAACAAAAAGTGTATCTCGAGCCGGTTTCTCAAACTTACCTACCCCACCTTTAAAGTCTGAGTAAAATCTCTATTAGTGTTCTTGATCTTCTACTGGCTCACCACAAGGGTGCATCCTCTCACCCTGATGTTTATGTGAAGCAGTAATAGTGTGAGCTTTGATTATAAGAGCAGACATTTTTGGTTTTATGGAACCAATGTAGTGTAAATCATAATAACTTCTTTGATTGATCTCTTGCTCTCAGTCCTGATGCTTCTTAACAACATGTTTTGGACTGTGAGCATAAAGTTAGGCTGCTTAGAGGTAGTAGCACTAGATGTTGCTCTTTTTTATCCCACAAGCTAAATGAGGTAACAACGGGCAATGTGGATATGATATCCTTTAAAACAACTTTAATGCTATTTGAACAAGTCTTTCTTGCATTTATGTAAATGCTACATGAAGACTTTATTGACTTGACACTGTGTTTTAAAAGTTTACTGCAAACTCAATCACCCAAGTGGGGATAATAAAAGATAACTGCACTCTAAAATAAGCTGTGACGCACTTTACAAGATACGTGGGGAGCATCATTTGAGGCCGATGACTAAAAGGAAAGAGTGTTGTAAAAATATGGATGCTCCGTCATGCATCTCCATAAGACCAAGGCCCAAAAAGAGGAAAACACCAGCAGCTTACCACCGTCTGCGAGAGTCAGGCTTTGTCTTTCCTCAGTGTGCAAGGAGTGTTAGGGATCCATCACACAGCAGTAGCATACTCTCTCAGTGACCTTGGTCTGTACCACTTTTGAAGATTCTCCAAAATTCTCCGTCATGAAGATTTGATGATTGTTGGGTGGTGGCTGGGTGTGTCTATAGCCAGGTGAGCAGGCTGTCTCTGTCCATGTGCGACCCGGAGAGAACTGTCTCCATGTCCATCAGGAGGTCTGAACTGAGACCCTCTGGGATGCACGGCATCAGCTCCTCGCCATCGGACATCGGGAGCACAGGCATCGAATCCTGTAAGGACATCGAGGAGGTCTCCACTAAGTCACCTGGAAGAAGTCAGAGAAGAGGAATAACATTAAAACAATTATTTGAATATTAGTGTTGAGCCGAGAGAATTTGGAAGGGCATTTTCACAAAAGCATGGTCTCTCTCTTTAATACAGATGAATGTAGACCAGTGTGCAGAGGTGGTAAGTAGTGGAGTACAAATACTTTGTTACTGTACTTAAGTACATTTTTCTGGTATCAGTACTTTACGACTTTTTACTTTTACTTCTTACATTTTTAACACAAATACCTGTACTTTCTAATTCTTACATTTCCAAACAGGCTGGTTCCTTTAGTTTGAATCTGTGTTTGGTGGCGTGATCATTATTATTTAGAGTCATTGCGTGCCTATTGATTTGAACACGATCCGTGTATCCATCATTTCCTGGTCTTCTCTAAAGAAGAGGGACCAATGAAAACGTTGTCATGTTGCCGTCGTTCAGCATGGAAACATTCATTAGCTAACAATGACATTATTGTTCTAATAATATAAAGGGAGGTCAGTTACTCTTTAAAACAGTTGGTAGTTATGGGTACTTTTTACTTACATTTCGAAGCCCATACTTCTTTACTTATTCTTGGGTAAAGAAGTTTAGTTTTTAGTTTAGTTTTTAGTTTACTTTTGCCATCTCTGCCAGTGTGTTTAAACTGTATTCCAGGAAAAGTGTATGTGCATAAATAAAATGTACGATTCACGTTTGCCATCCTCCTTTAAAGGAGTCATATCATGAAAACTTAATTTGACCAGGAACTGTGCCCTAAAATGTCATTGCTTTTCTTGAATGAAACTTTGATTATTCTGCATTGTCTTTATAAAAGTTATCGATATGGGCAATAATGTTTATGCCATTAACCACTGGAAGGCATGTGCACAAGCCTGATTTCACAAACCAATTAAAAAACACCCCAATGTTCTTAGTTCTGAGATAAACAACATAAGTATCTGAACCAGTTGCTAATTAGGCAACTATGACGACTAAAGTTGAGAAAAATTCACTAAAAAGGTCGCAAATAAATCACTTCCTATGGTTGTCATATAGATTAAGATTCAACAGATACCACATCGGGACCATCCTTCTGACTTTGGTGGGTGTGTGTGTGTGTGTGTGTGTGTGTGTGTGTGTGTGTGTGTGTGTGTGTGTGTGTGTGTGTGTGTGTGTGTGTGTGTGTGTGTGTGTGTGTGTGTGTGTGTGTGTGTGTGTGTGTGTGTGTGCGCGTGCATTACCAGTGTCCATGTGATCCACAGAGCTCAGCATGTGGTCTGAGTTGCGGGGTAAGCTGCTGACACTCAGGCCGCTGTCGGTGCTCTCATTGCGAGAGTGAGCGCTGCACAAGAACACACACATTCACTTATATCCGATCATCATGTGTTAAAATACCTGAAAAGACTATCAAAAACACTGATTGGACAATTCACGTACACTGATTTTAAAGGTCTCATAGGCTATTCTTTACAAAACATAAATCATTTTCAGTAGACTTTTGGCATTGAGAGTAATATAAATATTACAATTAGGTAACCATTCTTTAGCTTTTCACTGATTATTTCTACACTGTAACTGCTTTTACTTAAAGAAATATGAATACCTTTCCTACTTTCGTCCCTTTATGAACACACCTCTGACTATTACTACAATACAATAAAAGGAGATCTTCAGTACACGGCAATATAATTGAACATGCACTCACCCATTGAGTGTTGGCTCGTGGTTTGAGGATCTGATCCTGACATCCAGAGATGGGACAAGTGTTAGTGCGTTCCTGTCATGGTCCATCCCACCGGGCATCTGGTTCCTTCCTCCTGCCTCCTACAACACAAACAAACACATATGCATGTAAAACTCAAACTGTACATTAATTGGTCACTTAATTACTGTAAACTCTGAACTAAATACATCTAAATACAATGATATTACACAATGAATAACAATAATTAAAAGGTCCCCTATTATACTTTTTTTCATCATTATATTATAGGTCTCAGATATATACAAAACATGTCTCTGAAGTATTTTGCTTGAAATACCAAACAGATCATTGTAGCATCCCATAATCCTCTCTGTTTCAAAAGTGCTGATTCTCTGTCTGTTACTTTAGATGAAAATAAGGAGCCCCTCCCCACGCCCCTCTGAGAGAGATTTGGTTAAAAACACAATGGTGCTCTAGGAGGAGATTCAGGTGATAAGGTGGGGGGTTACCTTGATTGGTGATTGGCTAATGGTTACACAAGCCAACAAATCGTTATGACATCATAAAGTGGCTCAAATCTGATCAGCTAATTTTCAGACAGGTTTTTATATAAATGGATCAGGAGGACAAAAAGAGAGAGAATCTTTTTTCCTGAAACTTTCAGAATCTCTTTACACAGAGGGGACACATGTTGATGTATAAGAGACATGAAAAAGTGGATTTTGCATAATAGGTGACCTTTAAGGCTGCTTGTGTTGTGAGTTTTAGAATGGAATGAAATGGCACATCCAAGTTATTGTATTTCTGACCTGTGTGTGTTGTGGAGGCAGGCCTTGTTTGCATCTGAGCCTTTCCTTTTCCTGCCTCTGCTGCAGTGCCAAACCATGGAGACCAGGGATCATCTTCTGGGCTGGAACATAAAAGTCATAGAAGAAGAACATTTAAAAATTAAGTAAACTTTTCCACAGGTTTATACATTTCAGGTAAACTTGTCAAAACTTTGGGTTCTTTCTTATTTTGGTTGCCAACTTGTGATGGTTGGACATTGGAACAAAATGCTTCTCATTGACAAACAAGAATTGTCAATTCAGGAGACACAAGTTTGATAGTGTGCTACCTAGACGCGGGTCGACCCATGCGGTGGTCGTATTTATGTGATCGATGTAGTACACCTCTCCATCTGCAGTCACAGCCTTCTCCCAGCCTTCAGGCAGTGGACCTGAACAGCAGTGAAAGTACACAGTGAGAAGGCAAATGGTGGATGGAGTGAATGGCGTGTGAAAGTAGAAAAGTCAAAAGATCTGGCCCACGTCCTTAAAGGTTTGTGCAGCTTTTAGTCTGCAGAGGTTTTATAATGAATAGAAGTGAAGGTTAGTGGGTAAATAGCGACAGTATATGATGTTCTGTAGGGTAAAAGTGGACCAAGCTATGTGCATCTTGCCTAAATGCAGAGGGTGGCAGAGAGTAAACACCACAGTAAATCAATGACTTCATTCTCAGTGAAAAAGAAAGAGGGATTCCAAATGTGGTTTTTTTGCCCTTGAAGGGTCTATTCAGCCAAATGACAATATAAGCAACATCTTGTTACCGATCTACTGGCCATATTATTCTGGATAATCCACAGTTTATTTATAATAATTATTAATTGCACACATTATAGAAAGTTTGCATTACTTTAGTAGAAAGTCGTTTCAATGAAACTGGTCACAGCAAAGTCTGTGGGTTGTCCAGAGTGACTGTTAAATTGTTTTGTAATACTTCCTTGTATTCAACTTGCATTAAATAATGTCTTGGCATTGGTTTCTTTGTATTCGCTCTCTCTGTTTCGGTTTTTATGAAAGCAAAACTCAAATAAACACCAAAAAGACAAGTGACAAGAGCGGAAAGACAACAACCATTTACCAAGCTATACAACCTGCTTCAAAATAAGAAAAGGGAGATGTATGAGCCCATTCAATGTACTGCAGCACTCTCATATATTATCAAGAGAGTCTGAGATTCCGATCTCTCATTTCATAGCATTATTAGTTAAACCTAGGCTTTAATCTGCAGTACGATTTATATAATTCCCACCAAAGTCACCAGAGCAATGGATGCAGACACCAAAAAGGGAAATCCTGAAGAAAACACACCCAGCAAAGACCAGGCCCCAGATGATGGGGTTAAACACTGAAAAGAAGGTCTGTGCTTTGAAGGGAAACTGGAGGGTGAGAGTGGGGAGGAGAGCAGAGTGCTACCTGTCTCTGGATTGATGTTCTGCTGTAGCGTAGTGGGAGCAGGGTTGCTGAGGGAGTGGGCGTGGATCGGAGTGCCGGAGATGGGATGCTGAGCTGCAGCCGACTGAAGCTGCGCGATTCGAGGGTCGTGCCAAGTGGTTGTCTTATCCACGTGACTGTGAACATATAACAAGTTTCAACATGTCTGCATCTGCAACCTGATGGATAAGAAGTGCAAGACACATTTTAACCTCGGACCTGCTTTACCTGTACTACCTGTAGCCTTTGACAGGAGGGAGCTCTCCACGTGCTCTCATGAATAAAACTGACTGAAACCACACAGCTTGCAGAACTAGTTGCTAGCACTTTCTGTTTGCATGCACCTGATCAGCTTGAATCCTGGTTATATCTGCAGTGCTGCGTGTCTGTTTCCCTTTCCTTTAATTATGTGCTTTCTCTAGCAAAATATTCAACAAGGATATTTTCTATAACAGGAAGATACTCCTCCTGGGGATTTTTAAATAGCTTGATGCTCCAGATAGAATACAGATTATATGAATCATCTTTATTAAGTTATATATCAAGTGAAAATGTGCTGCTACTTTGTTCTCATTAAGTGAAGATGTGATGCTTTTCTCATCATTCATTTATGGCCAATCAGCAAGCAATTTAAAGCAATCTCTCTGAGCTTTGGGGAAATGTGAGGGGTAATGTTACTATTTATTATGGACTAAAAATAATAATGAGTTGCATCCATGTACCAGGTAAGTGCCGATGAGGAAATGCAGATTTTAGAACAAGGTGGAGCTGACGCTTCTGTCTAAATAGAAAGCACTTCAGGTAACCCGCAGTGTGGCAGATCAAACACATTGATAAACAGAAGTTAGACCTTACTTGAGGAAATAACGTTGGCCAGTGGGCGTTTTGGCCATTTCCCAACCGTGGGGGAGTGGCATGTCGTCAGGTATGAGTGCTGCTGCTGCCGCCGCCGCCGCCGCTGCTACATCTGCTGCTTGAGTGGAGAGCGAGTTGAGTGGGAGGGAGGCCGGGGAGGAATGGGAACGGGCGTGCTGATGAGGAGTGAGGGAGCCGCACACACCTCCATCTGAACTGGCCTGACGAGAAACAAGCAGGGTTGACAACTCCCAAGACTACAAACCACAATCAGAAACATAAACCAGCAGGAAGAAAAGATTTGGATGGTAACCAGAGAGAGCCGAGGTGAAACAAACACTGAGAAGAAGAACAGTGAAACTGGCTGCCTTACTCTCAAATAGGGTTAAATTACTACCAAGAACTTTCACCGATTGTTCTTTTTGAAAATGGAAAAACAGATCAGTGAATAGTTTACCAGTTTTAGTGTTGATTGAATTTGACACATGTTAGGGGGTAAAGTGTTTGAGCCACATCTTCATCTCTCAGAGATTCATGGTCTGTTTGCTGGTCATGAAACAAATGACGGGAGCCAAAATCGAAATGGTTTATACCACAATCTTTTGCAAATATTTTTGCTGTTCAGATTATTGTTTTAGTTAGTTGTAATGCTAATGTTTAATAATACAAATTAACTAGAGCAAGAGTCTCACCGTTTTTGGTTTTCTGCTTACATGATAGTGGGTTAAATACATCTGGCCTGTTGGTCTTGTAAAACCCAGGACATTTGAAGACATCCCCCTGCACTGTGGGAAATATTAGCCATCATTGTATTCCCACTATTATATAAACCAAACAAACAATTATAGTAACATTATTATAGATGTAGGCTACTCCTGATTTAAAAGATGGTCTATTATTTATATTAACTACATGACCAATATAGTGCTATTAATAGTTTGTCCCTGAGATATGAGAATGGAGATGGGAAAAATAATAATGAAACCATCTTTTTATTCGTATTATTATGCAACGCAACAACTTACTAATGTCACGCAACAGGTAGTATTGGGTTGTATTGCATTGTTCTGGTTTATCAGTGTTTAATGAAGGCTACCGTCTTTACTTAATGTAGCCTAGTTGATGTACTTAGTGGCATTGGTGGGAAGTAACTTAGTACATTTACTCAAGTACTGTACTTAAGTACAATTTTGAGAGACTTGTACTTTAATTGAGTATTTCAATGTTATGCTACTTTGTACTTCTACTCTACTACAATTCAGAGGTAAATCATGTACTAATACTGCACTATATTTATTTCATACCGGTTAGTTACATTGCAGATTGGGATTAATGATGGGAAATATAGTTCAAATTTAAATCAGACTTTAGTTACACCTGGAGTAAATTCACAATCTACCCTGCAGCATACAAAGTCATTAAAACTAGCTGCACCTTTACCAGCTTTGATAACACTTTAAAGCATGATTAATTAAAGTGAAAACAAATTATATTATTCAGAATTGGACCAATTTGCAGAATGACTACTTTAACTATATTTGTGATGCCAATACTTGTTCTACTTTTATTTAAGTAACCTTTTGAATGGAGTACTTTTACTTGTAACAGAGTATTCCTACTCTCAAGTAGCCTACTTCTACTTTTACTTTTTGCAGCAGTGTTTTAGTACTTGTCTGGAGTGGCCTCGGGAGTCCGGCTGCCTGAAGAAGGAGTCCGGGAGTTTCCTCATCCTCATGGGCAGAGAGGGCGGCTGTCGGACGGACTCGCTGGGGTTCATCACGGCGTTGAACAGGGCCTCGAGCTCCGTCTGCGAGTCCCCGCGGACGTGCACGATCTGCTGCCCGGCCGCAGGCACGCCGCGGTGCGCGTCCATGTCGCCAAGTTTCGGTGTCGAAACAAATCTGTCGAAAAGTTACAATACAATAACATTAGAATAAACGCAAGGCCCGGATAATACTACATGCGCCTGAGTGCAGGAGTTTTGATCGGATTTGTTTACACTTTTAAACCCCCCCACCCCCACCCCATTTGAACTTTTGTGTCCTTGTCTGTTTGTTTCAAACTCTCACTGTTCGGAAGTCAATCAGCTGTGAAAATACGCCAAATACTCGGGTAAAGAAGTCGAAGGAGATACATTAAAAGCAGTGATCGCTGACCAAAGTAAATCTCAGCAGCGCACAACACGTTACATGCCTCCCACATACCTTCAAGCAGCCAGACCGTTTCCCCCCTCTCTCCGTATTCCTGCAGGGAAAAATAAAATTGGAGAAATCACAGCCGGGAAAACACTCACACGGATATTAATTTCCGATGCAAACTTTGATCTAAAAGTCTCTCCAAAGTGAAAAAAACCACACATAAATATGAAACTAGTTTGAGAAAGTGATTTCAGCGAGACCTCCAAACTTTTTTCACATCCACTGTTGAGTCCAGATTCATGTGATAGTGCTGAGGGGCGGGGTTGTAGAGTTTAAAGCTGCCGCAGTTGCAGGGGAAATATTTTACTCTGACATAAACCATCAACATAAGGCGTAGAAAACAAGGTTGTATGATTTATCCACAGCTCCAACTGCAACACAAGCAAGTGTCTTTACTCGTTGTAAATGCAAGGAAATCAGTGATATTAGAGTAAACTCAAAGTCTTTGGCAAGGTTTTAATTCCCCTCCGTGCAGCCTCTTAAGTTAATGCGGTTTACCCCCTGTGAGGAAAGAGGCGGAGGGCCAAGAGGTGACAGACAACCAAAGATGAAACACTTGAGAGGGGAAATTAGACTTTTTGGGGCCTGGGTCTGGTCTGGTTTTGGGGGGTTGGGGAGGGGTGGTTGGGAAGTTGTGCTGAGAAAACATCCGCCCCTGATGAGGCCGAGCCAGCCGGAGCCGCAGCGGCCTGCCCTCTGCTGGAAGACACGCGCACTGCTGGGAGACACGCGCACTGCTGGAAGATACGCGCACTGCTAGAGACACGCGCACAGTGGAAGACATGCACGCACACTGTGGACTGATCAAAAGGTTCTGACTGGACTGGGGTTCCTGTCCAATAGAGGTGGGACAAGTACTCAGATATTGTACTTAAGTAAAGGTAGAAGTACCAGAGTGTAGGAAGTAGGAATACTTCACTCAAAATGTTACTCAAGTAAAAGTAGAAACGTATTGGCATCAAAATATACTTAAAGTACCCATTATGCAGATTGGTCCATTTCAGAATAATATACATTATATGTTTTGATTATAATTATTGATTGATTAATGTGTTTATCAAAGCTGTTAAAGGTGCAGCTAGTTTGAATGACACGGTATAGTTTGTGAATTTACTCCAGGTGTAACTAAAGCCTTATTTTAGTGTTGAGTACAAATCAAATCATTAATCAAAATCTGCAAAGTAACTAAAGGTATTTAATAAATGTAATGGAGTAACAGTACACGATATACCTCTGAATTGTAGTGGAGAACAAAATACAAAGGAGCATAAAATGGAAATACTCAAGTAAAGTACAAGTCACTCGAAATTGTACTTAAGAACAATACTTAGGGCCTACATGTATTTTACACCACTGCTATCCAACAACTAATTCAATAATGGCATAATTATAATCCACCAGAGTAAATATACCATAATCACACAGGACGCCGCAGACTGTTTTTAATTAGTTATTTGTCAAAAACAATGTTTTATTAACGATCGAATTACAATGAAAATGTATGAGGATATATTTGTATTATATGTTATAATATAACAGAGGATAACTAGTCAAGATTTCACATGAATGATATTGAAGCAATTGAAAATTAATAGTTTTCAATAAAAAAAGCTTTTAAAAAAAGTTTTTTTCATAACAATGAATCAGAATACCTTTATTCGTCCCACAGAGGGGACATTTACATAGTAAAGCAAGTAAAGAGACAAAGATAGCTTAATATAATAAAGTATACAAAATTAAAGTAGAAAAGTACAATTTACTAAATACACATCCAGTACCAGTAACAGTTTTGAGATATAGCAGCCAGGTGAAAGTATTAAAAGTGGAAGTATATTGCACAAATATTTATGGTATATAAATATATATATATTGCACAGTCCCCGTGTCAAATGGTATTAAAATATGTTTGTAAAATGAATTCTTCCAAACCCATTAATCAAAAATATTTTTCACAAATATGGGCAAGTTAGCACCAATTATTTTATTAAGTATATTCAAAATAATTGTAATAGTATCATTTTTAGGTATTATATCATATAGCTAAATAAATGTATAAGGACTGTCCTTTTGAGCATGTAACAAGACATGCTTTTATACATGAGGTCCAGTCATCATTAGCAATACTTATTATTAGGACCGATATGATCAATTGTTTCTGTGTGGTGGATTATCATTGACAATAGCAACAGTTCAATATGAACACAGTTGTAATGTAATACAAACCAGAGCGCAGCAGATGGCACTGTAATACCTTCACACCTGTGAGGCATATTGTTTGTCATTACTTTACTGCAAACTCTCAGAAGTATTTTCAAAACAAAAGCCCGCGTCTGGTAAAAGAAAGTTGATGGTAGATAAATGCTTTGACATATCGTGAGACAGGCTTTAATGCCACCTCAGAGCTTATATACTAAGACTAGGCGTGATGAGGGCTTTACTTGTTGGGCAACGTTGGAAAAATATTGATGGAGAGAAGAGTGCGTAGGGACCGCCTACAAAGGTCAACACCAAAAGATCACAATGCAAAAATACTATACAACTTCAATGTCATAAAGGTAAAGTTCTACCAAAATCAATTCACACATATTCTAAAAGTTCCCCTACTGGCTCTTGAAGGTATTAATGCATTTTCATCATTTTGGAAATATTCAATGTTCCACAGTTAAGTGCTACCAATAACACTTAATACATTGATGGTCTCCTGTTGGTTATACTACGACACTTATGTGTTTGCATACATTTGGTAATCTGTTCTTGTGCAATCTAGTGCTCCACAGTCGAACAGTGCGATGGTGCCAAATTCACATAACACATTATTGGTCTGTCGCTGGTTAAAATACACATCTAGAATTAGATAAATATACATTTGCTTAATTTTGGTAAACATTGTTCATGGAAAATAAACTTCTGGACGGCTGGCCAGTGCAGCAGCTCCATCGCTCTCTCTCTCTTAGCGAAAGTTATTATTGATACAAATGTATTATTATATATTATACGAATATACATTGACTTAAATTAAAGTGACTTTTATTTCATTTATTTTTGTAAAAAACGCAATCCACATTGAGATCAAAAGCCAGCCTTCTGTCTTACTGCATGCTCCCTTAAACGTACAAAATCCCATAGTATAAAAATTACAAGGTGTTTAACGGGGATTAACGTGCAGGGACAGACCATAATGAAGGTGTTGATTAGTGAGCTATACAGCTGCTGGTTGGAAGGTGGATTCATTACACTTTTTGGGAAACTTATCTGCTTTTATTGACACTTCATATCTCTCTGATATGTGAATAGGAAGCCCCTGGCTGGTTATTTTAGCATATAAGACCAGAAACAGTTAGCACTTCACATTACCTTAGAAAACCACAATGTGTCTTTCTTAAACCTACTTGTTTTACTGATTGACGTTTAGAGATGTTGGAAGGCAGATGTGATTAGCTTGAGAAAGGCTAGCTGTTCCCTGCTTCAAGTCTTTATGTTTAGCTAAGTTTTTCTTTACATTAGAGGCAGATTTAGACATAACAGTACAAAAAAACGTTATTTCAAGAATATCAAACTATTTATTTATTCAACTTTTTCCTACCTAAGCACTAAAGTCGAGTATATATGATCTCATTATCTCGCCTGGCAGATATAATGTGTCATTCACATGCAGAGCGCTTTACAAGAGCATGTAACATGGGACAGATGTGGGGGGCCCTGAGGCTGCCGCACCAGGCTTTTCACATTCCTCTCACTGACCATGGCTGTAAACTAACAGGTTCAGAACAACAGCAAATCTTTTCTTTGGCTCCCACTGTAAAGTTTTCCAGGGAAGCGACAGGCCGGCCGGCTCCAGCTGGACTCTGACAGGAATGTGCTTTTGCTCTTTTCACTCTCCTCTCTGCTTAACTGCCCAGTTAACAAACGTAATTGGTCTGACCCTGTAGGAGGCTGTTTTCAGATGTATGAGTCAGTGGTCAAAGACAGAAGAGGGGGGGGGAAATATGAGCACAGAGGCACCCTGCCGTCACCGCACCCCATGCCTTCAGCTCCCATGCAAAGACACAAGCAGAGAGAAAGTGTTCCTACTATTAAATAAGCTGCCCATTTCCCTTTCCCCACATCTGTTTCTCATGCGGGTGGCAGGATATAACCTGTAAAATAACATCACTGAGGGGGGAGGTAATAACCCTGTACCACAAATCTTGAATCAGCACATTTGAGCTGCTTGTCAGAAATACATCCAGACTTTTATCACAAACTCGTTAACAAATCTGACCTGTTATTTACAGGGGATGTTGTCATGGGAGTTTACGAGAAAAAGTGGGAGTGACTGATGGAGGTGGCAAGAGGGAGGCAGTCAGGGAGAAGTTTGACAACTGAGAGGAAGGAGCAGATGTTGAGAACTCTTGGTAGAAAGGAGGACATTAGAGGGGAAATAGCAGACTCTGTGGAAAAATAAAGCATATGAAAGAGAGAGGCTGTTGCTGACGGAGTGGGAATAATCAAAGTCAGACGACATGATGTGGACAACAACTGTCCTCCTGCTGCTTGTGCCTCATCTGCTTTCCTCCACAGTATGTATGAGATGCATGTCATTAATATGTTCAACTTTGCACAGTCAGCAGGAATGATTGGATCTTTTACAGATGACTTTTACCTAACAAATCCTGGTGTACTCTAGCAGAACCAAGGGCTTAGAGGTAGGCGTATAACTATGATGAATCATTATTATTTATTTAACCTTTTTCTGGGTTTTTTAAACATTACACTAGTCATCAAAATAGTGTGTTTATGGAAAATAGGTTTAAACTTAAGTATTCGGATCATATTTCAATATAAAAATACTTAATTGTGAAAAAAGTCCTGCACTGAAATTATTATTTAAGTAAAAGGAAATAAATATTAACAAATATTAAGTATAATGACTTTTAATATCAAAAACTGTACATATAACATTGGATTTTCACAACTTGTGCATGAATATGAGTGCAGACTGTTTGTTGTGTTTTTTTAGGTGAAGCCGATTGTAACTATATTACACTTAAAACAAAAAAACAGTTTTACCTTAAAAACCAACACCTTCCTGAGTGCCTGTATATTGAAAGATGAAAGAGTAGTTGCCGCATTAGAATAATGAGAACATTATAAGTATTCTTGAAACAAGATTCAGAAGCTTATCATTTGTGTTTTATTCAAAGTAAAAAACAATGCAAAATGTTACAAAATAATATTTACTCTATTTGCCAGATGCATTTCCCCTCTAAATAAGCTGTGCTTAAGTCTCAAGTATCATTACATGAAAATTGTACAAGCACAGAGAAGAACATTAAAGCCCTTCTCAAGTAAAATACGAGACAATTTAATTTGTATTTCAGGATTTAAAGGCAGGAATTGCTTTTACAGTGTGTTTGTGTGTAGCCAACCAGGATGCCACATCTAAACTTTGTTGATCCCAGATGATATTTAATCATTTGCACACATGGCAGAGAGGTCAGTATTAGATCAAGAAGCTAATCAGGACTTTGTGTCAGACATCACATGCTAGTTACAACATGTTGCATGATTTAAGTACAGACTTACCCCCGTGTATCTCTCACTGTTCTGTCTTGATTTCCAGGAGACGGGAAACAGTGCCAATTTTAACGAATCAGACATAGTCGATGAAGACTTCTCTGATGCTCCTGTGAAAGGCCAGAAAGTTGCTGGAGGGGTCAAAGGTCGGGACACGTGCTCCATCCCCTGTGACATCACTGTCAAGCTGCTACGAGATGAGAAACATTCGATCTGTGGTGAAAAAATAATAATATTTCTTTGTGTTATTGTTTCCTCTATCATCGTCATCGTTGTTCAGAATGTGTGTGTGTTTGTGTGTATGTAGGCCAGTTACAGCAGACTCTGTTGGCGTTTGGACGCAGCACCCGGAAGCTGATCAGAGACGTGATGGAGGAGCAGCAGAGGGCTCTGGACATCCTCAGCAGTCAGGTAAAATGGAGTCCTCCTTTTCTCTCTTAGTCACATCGTTTCTAAGCGTCTCATTGGCTGGTTCATGTATAGCAGTGTCACATCTCCAGGTCACAGAGCTGACGACCAAAGTGCAGACGCTCAACTCTGAGGTTCAGAGAAGCAACACAGAGATGTACTCCATCAAACCTGTGCAATCCCACGGTAAATCACTCAAGAACACAAGCCATGACACTTCTAATAATCTAATCCATGTATCCTATAATGCGCAATGGCATGGCCCTTAGTTTTGGAGAACATCCTCATGATGAGAACACTGACATTAATGCGTAACATTGTGACTTTAAAGGTCCCCTATTATTCTCTTTTCCAACAATATATTAAAAAACACGAAAACACGTCTCTGATCAGCTCATTTTCAGACAGGTTTTTATATAAATGGATCAGGAGAAAATGTTTACGTGTTTATGTAACAAAGACATGAAAAAGTGGATTTTGCATAATAGGTGACCGTTGTGAAATGTCAACTTTTCACGACAACATGACACGCTCTATTTCCGGTTTTCACTTGTCTAAGAAGTCATTAAAGATTCCCAACACTGAGAAACATTTAATCATTAATATATCTGAAATATTTGAACACCACATGGTTTACATAATAAATCCACAGGTTCATCCTTATGTGAATGTAATTTCTACTTCCTGATGACAGAAGAGTGTGTTTGCTTTAATTAGGACGGGACTGCAGTGACATCAAGGACAATCTTATGTCAGTTGTGCCCAAGATCCCGAGCGGTATTTACATCGTCCACCCGGAGAATACAGACTCTTCTTTTGAGGTAGACGTCTCTCATACTTCAGTCCTTCACAGTTCCTCGGTCACCACTTAAACAACTAAATGTGCTGCAGGTTTTCTGTGAGATGGACTACATGGGGGGCGGATGGACGGTGATGCAGCGGAGGACTGATGGATTAACGGACTTCAAACGACCCTGGGCGGATTATGCTGATGGCTTTGGACATCTTGCAGGTTGTATTAACTTAATTTAGCCATTTTAAGAATGAAATAAGCCTTAGCTGGAGGTTGAGATGCAGAAACAACAATTTATGTACTCCAGGTGTGCCAGCCGACTGCTCAATAACAGTAATGCAGATCCCACACATGACTAAATCAAAGTATAAACACTAAGCTAGAGTTATACTTACATTACAGATTCAAATATCACTGAACAATTATTTAGATTTCCAATTGCAGACGTCTCTTTTGCTATACATTTTGTGGACATTTACATTTTTCATAGGCTTGCTGCAAAGTGTCTTGCTCAGTAACAATAAATACATACTAAATAATTGAAGTTATCCAAAATTGTGAAATGTTTTAGAATATCTAGGTGAAGATTTTAAGATGTACTTAAAACAAAGTAAACACAAGACTGCTAGTTCATGCATAGTCATGTTTCATCATCTTTAAATGCCACAAAAGCACACATGTCATCATCAGACTGGAGACTCTGTCAGTCAATATTGCTCTTGTCAATGATCGCAATAACGGCACAATTGTTACGGTGTGTGTAGGAAGCAGGACCCAAATGCAGATTATGGTGTCAAAAATAACTCCTTTATTTCAAGGCTAAACTATTCAAAAAGACAGAACAGAACACTCACCGAAGACCAAGTTAAAACACAAGACGAACCGACAAAGACAGACAGAAAAACCAGAACTTAAATACACACAAGACTAATTATACAAACAAGACACAGGTGAGGAGGGAGGAGAAAACACAGGGACACCAGGTGCACACAATCGGGTAATAAGACACACCAGGGAAACTAACGACAGGGAACCACAGACAGATCTAAAGACAAAACACAACGCAGACAGAAAACCAAAGACAGATCTAGACAAGACAAAACACAACACAGACAGAAACAGGCAAGACAGGAGGTGAAGACCTTTCAAAATAAAACATGAAACAAAAGACAGAAAAAGACAAGACAAAATACAACACAGACAGATCTTGACAACAATAACGGTAATTGTTCTGGTGTGTGTGTGTGTTTAGGGGAACACTGGTTGGGTCTGAAGAAGGTGTTTCATATAGTAAACCAGAAAGAGACCCGCTTCCAGCTTCACGTCGCTTTGGTGTCGCAGGATGACGTCACCTCTTATGCTTCATATGATGATTTCCACCTGGACAGTGAAACCCAGTTTTTCTGTATTCACCTGGGCAGATATTCAGGAAGCGCAGGTAAGACTTTATAAATCAAAGTTTACAAAAAGCAAGTGACAAATGTTGTGCTTTTCTTAACTCAATTGATAAATGAACAATATCTTGAACCCTCAACATGGGCACACCTGCATATCATGTTCTATTTGCATGTATATAGACTTTTTGCACTACTTTTTAATTTTGTATTTTATTATATATGTTGGATTGTTGGTTGTTAAGATTTTCATTGCCATTTCTACACTGTAGCTTTGTGCATATCTGAGAACAGCAAACTCCCTTGAAATGTTTAAAAGCAAATTAAAAACCTATCTTTTTAACATGGCTTTTAATATGGGTTAACTTTCAATTGTCACTAGTATCATTGTCCATTGTCCAGGTAAAAAATCCCATTGAGATCAACGATCTCTTTTACAAGGGAGACCTGCCGCACATTGGTTACACATGTAACAGAAAACAAAAAGGACACATACAACATAATGACAGGGGTACAATTTACAAACTTAAGACAGGTACCAGGAGTATCAAATATCATTTAATCCAGCTGTGCTTTAAAATGATGCAGGGGACCCAAAATCTTCATTTTCAAAATGTTTTGCAGAGTGTTCCAAGCTAGAGGAGCAGCGCACATAAAAGTTTCTAGCACTTGGCACATGTAATAAAAACACATCCTGGGATCTTAGGCAATAGCTACTTGCGACTCTCTGTGATATCAGTGAGCAGATGTAAGGTGGTAGTTTACCCAGCATGGCTTTATAGATGAACATGTACCAATGACTGAGCCTCCGAACAGTAAGGGAAGGCAGACCTGCCTTGGCATACAGGGTACAGTGATGAGTAAGTGCTTTACAGTTAGTCACAAATCTCAGTGCCCTGTGATAGGCGGCATCTAACTTGATCAGGGGCAGGTGCATTCATATAGATCAGATCCCCATAGCACAGGTAAAAAGGTGTGTGTAATTTATTTTACATTTTTACATTATCACTGTAGATGTTTTATCTTGTTCTGTATTATTTTAAATATTATTTAAATATTGTTGCCATGTTTTCTGTAAAGCACTTTGGGCTGCTTTGTGCATGAAAGGTGCTAAATAAAGTGTATTATTATTATTATTATTATTATATGACAATAAAAGCTTTGAATCTTTGAATCTACCTGTGTGTTATTTCTTACAGGTGATGCGTTTCGCGGCTACGACCAGGATCTGAACCAGGACACGGCTCCATTCAGCGCCTCGGACGTGGATAACGACGGCTGTAATCCCTCCTGCTCCTTCGATAACCGCACGGTGGAGAGCTGCAGCGCTCAGCACAACAACACAGGATGGTGGTTCAACCAGTGCGGCCTGGCCAACCTCAACGGCTCCCCTGAGGACACTGAGCAGAGCCAGAGGACGCACATCCTGTGGGACACCTGGAGGCAGAGCGGAGTCCCTCACACCATCAAATCTGTCACCATGAAGATCAGGAGGATTGCAACCAATAATTAACAGAGAAGAGGAGAAACACAGGGAGAAAGGACATTATTGTAGAAGTCATCTTCGTACAAATTGATGTTTTATTCAATCGGAATGGAAGAAGGAAAGGATGATTTGTCTTTTTGTAATTGTAAGCATAGGAACTGTTTTATAAATATCCCTTTAAGGTGGATTTGCTTTAACCCTTGAGGTCAAATCAGCGGTGGAAAGTATCTAAGTACATTTACTCAATAATAACATAATTGTACTTTATTTGAGTATTTCCCTTTTTCTTTCTACTTGTACTACTACTTCTCTTTAAAAGGCAATTATTGCACTTTTTACTCCATTACAATAATTTAACACTTAGAGTTACTAGTTTCTTTTGACATATAAAAACATGTGATATACTTATACTTACATGTTGTTATGCAGTGCTGTGCTATATTATACAAAGATACAAAACCAGTATTTTAAAAAGTGTCTAAAATTGGTTCCACATTGACAAACTACAACATAAAATGCCCTGACATTTATTTGTTATTGACTAAAACAGGAAAATATAATATTAAAATGAATTAATATTGTTATGTTCCTGCAATTGTGAAAAGAGTTTACAATTGAGTTATTTTATTTAATAATGTAAGAACATTTAGCTGATAATAACTTGGGGACAAATATACCTGAAATTATATTGCAATATATTATTACAACAATACCAAGGTAAGAAGAACTCCTCAAGTGTAGACCCATATTGTTGTTATACAAATCATAGAGGGTAAATATAAAAAGGAGCAACTCTAAATGCATCTCAAGCTGATTAAATCTGTACTGAGTAGTTATGATGTGACTGGCAGCAGCAGGTGAGACGCTGGTGAAATACCGACCTGCACCAATAGGTGGTGCTATAAATGTCTCTTAAAGAGGCCCTATAATGCTTTTTGGTTATTTCATTTAATTTCAAACCTTTATTTAGACAGATAAATCCCATTGAGATCATTGATCTCTTTTTCAAGGGAGACCTGCTCAAGTAGTTCCACATGAAACATAAAAACATAAATAGAACAACAAAAGGACATCATACAGCATCATTTACATAATTATCCACATAAACAGGTACCTATAGCTTCCGATTGAGTAGCATCCAACCGAGCTTTAAAAACATTTAGTGGCACCAGATTGTTCAGTTTCCATTTAATTTGCAGACTATTCCAAGACAGGAGCTGCGCATCTAAAAGCTGTCTTCCCTAAGACAGTCCTAGCAGTTGGCACATTTAATAAAACTACAGCATGCGATCTCAGGCAGTAGCCACTTACAATTTTCCGTGAGATCAGGGAGCAGATATAAGATGGAAGTTTCCCTAACATGGCTTTGTATATAAAAATGTACCAGTGACTGAGCCTCCGTACAGTTAGTGAAAGCAAACCAGCCCTTGCATACAGGGTACAGTGATGGGTTAATGCTTTACAGTTTGTCACAAATCTCAGTGCGCTGTGATACGCAGCATCTAACTTGACCAGGCAATTGGCAGGTGCATTCATATACATCAAATCACCATAGTCCAGCACAGGTAAAAAGGTCACAGTGACTAGCCTTTTCCTGGCCTCAAGCGAGAAACAGGACTTATTTCTGTAAAAGAAACCTAGCCTAACCCTCAGCTTTTTAAGCAGGTTATTGACATGAAGTTTAAAAGTGAGACAATCATCAAGCCAGATACCTAGGTATTTGTAACAGGCAACAACTTCAAGTTTTATTCCTTGCGTAGTTACAATATCCAAAGCAGTCTCTGGTGTATTTTTAGCTTTAGAAAAGAGCATTACCTTGGTTTTCTCAACATTTAAAAGAAGCTTTAATTCAGAGAGCTGAGTCTGAATAATATTAAAAACAACCTGTTATTTAACACCAGCCTCCTGAATGGAGGGACCTGCACAGTACATCACGGTATCATCCGCATACAAATGTAAAGTAGCTTCATCCACATTTTCACCTAAACTGTTGATATATATAGAGAATAAAAGTGGACCTAAAACAGAACCTTGGGGAACACCATTAGCAATGTTTAACCACTCAGAAGACAGCCCATCAAAGTGAACACATTGGGACCTTTCAGAGAGGTAGTTCACAAACCACCCTACTGCATGGCTGGACATGCCTATACTGGCTAGCCTCTGCTTTAAAATGTGATGATCGACGGTGTCAAACGCTTTTGAAAGGTCAATAAATAGAGCTGCACAACTCTGCTTATTATCTAAAATACTCGTAATGTCATTCACCACTTTCATTGTGGCAGTGATGGTGCTATGTTGTTTTCTGAAGCCTGACTGATGATTAGACAGGATGTAATTTGTACATAAAAACACCTTTACCTGTTCACTCACTAAGCGTTCAAGAACCTTAGCCAGAACTGACAACTTAGAGATTGGCCTATAGTTATTTAATAAGGTGGCCTCCCCTCCTTTTAGCAAAGGCAGGACATACGCTGACTTCCACAATTGGAATTGTGTTAGTGTTGAGGGAGAGGTTAAAAAGAGTAGTGAGAGGTGGAGCAATACAATCTGCAGCTATCTTTAAAAAGAAAGGTTCTACGTTGTCCGGGCCAGCCGGTTTCTTAGGATCTAACTTGGTTAAAGCTTCACGAACAACATCAACAGTAAAAGGGGTAAAACTAAAAGGGTTTTCCAACACACGTTTTTCAGAGTCACATACTGTAGTGTTCACAGAAGCAGAGTTAGTGACAGAATCAAAAAGAGAACCGCAGGACACAAAATGCTCATTAAAGCAATTTAGCTAGTAGCCCTGTCCGATATAGTGCCAGATGCTGTGGTAATGCACGGAGGTAGCTCATTACGGATATCGCCGGTGGATAACGATTTAATGGCTTTCCAAAATTTTCCAGGATTATTCAGATTCTTTGTGGTTACTGACAGATAGTACTTTGATTTAGCACTTTTGATTTGCGATGTGAAGCTATTCCTTAGCTGCCTAAAACGCAGCCATTCTACCTCTGAGCCTGATTTCCTAGCCTTTGCCCAGGCCTTGTTTCTCTCATGAAGGAGACTGGACAGTTCAGCAGAGAACCAAGGATTGTCTCGTCCCTTTACTCTAAATTTACGCAGGGGTGCATGTCTATCAATGATCTCCATAAAACCAAGATAAAAATAAGACCATGCGGTTTCTACATCAGCACACAGATCGATTTTACCCCAATCAAAATCAAACAGATCATGAACAAAACCCTGCTCCACAAAATGTTTTTTGTCTCTCTTAATGATAATGCGAGGTTTAATCTTTTGGACCTTAGTGTCCCTAATTGTGGCTACAACACAGTGATCGCTCAGATCATTTGCAAATACTCCCACAGATGAATATTTATGGGGAACATTAGTTAAAATTAGATCAATTAGGGAGGATTTATTAGGGGACTTAATGTTAGGGCGAGTAGGACTGTCAACAATCTGAGTAACATTTAAAGAGATACAAAGGTTTTTTAAATCCTCTGACACTGCAAGGCAAGGCAAGGCAAGTTTATTTATATAGCACTTTTCAACACAAGGCAATTCAAAGTGCTTTACAAAAAATGAAAGACATTAAGTAAAGGGCATTTAAAATCAGTCATTAAAAATAAAAGCTAATAAAATAAACATTAAAAGAAAAAGTACATGGATAAAAGTTACAGTGCAGTTTAAGATATGAATAGTTCAATTAAAAGCAGCGACAAAAAGAAAAGTCTTCAACCTGGATTTAAAAGTATTCAGAGTTGCAGCGGACCTGCAGGTTTCTGGGAGTTTGTTCCAGATATTTGGAGCATAATAACTGAACGCTGCTTCTCCATGTTTAGTTCTGACTCTGGGGACAGAAAGCTGACCAGTCCCTGAAGACCTGAGAGATCTGGATGGTTCATAATTTAGCAGGAGGTCAGAAATGTATTTTGGGCCTAAACCATTCAGTGCTTTATAAACCAGCAGCAGTATTTTGAAATCTATTCTTTGACACACAGGAAGCCAGTGTAAAGACTTCAGAACAGGAGTGATGTGATCCACTTTCTTAGTGTTAGTGAGGACTCGAGCAGCGGCGTTCTGAATCAGCTGCAGCTTTCTAATAGATTTTTTAGTGAGACCTGTGAAGACACCATTGCAGTAGTCGAGTCTACTGAAGATAAAGGCATGGACAAGTTTTTCCAAATCCTGCTGTGACATTAGTCTTTTCCGCAGTTAACCAGTCCCAGTCCGCAGTTAACCAGTCCCAGTCCGCAGTTAACCAGTCCCAGTTAAAATCTCCAAGTAAAACTATTTCCTTGTAGTCTAGTTGTGATAAAAGATTTGCTAGTGAAGACAAGGAGTCTTTGACAGCTGAGGGGGGTCTGTAACAATCCACCACCATGACCTGTTGACCCTTTGCCACTTCTATATTTATGGCTAAAAATTCAAATTGCTTACTGATCGATTTGGAAACTAATGTGGTTACACTGAACTTATTCTTAACATAAATGGCAACGCCACCACCTTTATTAGGTACGATACAGATTAAAACCATTTAAGGCAATGTCAGAGGCCAAAATAGATTTGTTTAGCCATGTTTCTGATAAAACGATGACGTCAGCGTCAGTTGAGCTCGCCCAGATACGGACAAAATCTAGTTTACCTAACAGACTGCGCACATTCAAGTGGATGAAACCCAACCCAGACCTAGCTTTAAAATCAGCAGGAGTAGTGATCTGACTACTACTACTGGGCGGACCAGGGTTAGGTTATACATTTCCTGACAGTAATAACAACCAAAAAACCAGGCATCTTTTCCTCTTAAGCGACACACATACATTGTCATCTAATTTAGAAACACCGGAAAAGTCTGCGAGAGTGTGATTTGAGCTTAAGAAGCAGTCCTGAAGAACCATCATCGCAGGAAAACAAAAAAGACAAACATATTTTGTCGAGCAGATTGTCTGTGACAAGGCAACCGGTAATTGTTTGAGCAACACATCCGAACCTTTGCAGGGGATGCCCACTGCGGGCCCACTATCTGTTATAATGTGTAATATAGGTTTTTGTGCATATAAATGGCCTGAAAAGGGGGCGGGACATCTCAAAGCGGTGGACCAATCACAACAGATCCGGCCAGCCAACCAATCAGAGCAGACTGGGCTCTGGTTTCAGACAGAGGGTGAAAAGAGGTGCTGCAGCACAGGCAGTATGAGAAAAATAAAGTGCTTTTTGAACATGGAGACATGTCACATGTCTCCATGTTCAAAAAGCACTTTATTTATTTATACTGTGACAGTAGAGGCACAACATACAAATATGAACCTCAACATGAGCAGAATACGGCCCCTTTAATGGAGTGTGTGGAGAATGTGTTATTATCTTGTGATTAAACCTGCGTAGTTTAGTTCAGATATTTTGTCTCTGTCTGTTTATTGTGGAGTTTAGTCAGCCACAAAATGTCCCGATCCCATTCCTGCTTCCCAGAGAAAAAATCCTTTAGATTTCAATGATGCGTCATCTGGAAGTCTTACATTTTGGTTTAACTGAACATATTATGTAACATGACTTTGAGTGCGGTGTTTCTTTGCCTCGTGTGTTTTTGTTT